CCCTACCATTAGTAGAATTTTTGTTTTAGTTTTTTTCATCTTTAGTGAAGCATTGTTTAGGTCTATATTTGTGGTCAGCCACAGGTAGATATGGAGGGAACTGAGAAGCAGATTGGTTACCTATTGGGGGACATTTCTTCCCTCTTTTTTCTCACCCTCCCCTTCTTTCTGAAAGTGGGTCAAGGTCAAGGCATTTTCTACCTCCCTGAAGTAAGAGTGGTACTGATATTCTAGGCTTTGTTTTCCTGGGGTGGAATCGCATTGCTTTTGAGAAGTTGACACAATGATGTTCTGTTCTTTCTTGAGGCAGAGCACTAAAAGCCCCTGGTCATCTTTCCCTTTGGAATACACTCCCTTCTGTGTGGCAGTCAGGACTGAGGCAAGGTACCACCTGTATCAGCTCTGTTCTCCTGTTGCTTGTTTAGTTTATTTTGGCTTGGTTCTCCCACCCAATATCTCTCTATGTAGCCTGCATTAGTTTTAGGCCATTTCTACCCTCCTAACTTGGTGTTACCACTAATTCCTGTCTTGTGTAAGGATTCAAGTAATTTCAGTTTCCCCGAGACTCTGATCAATGATAATTGCTGATTGTAATATATATATATATGATACATATATATATATATATAGCAGGTTTATATCAATGGCTTTACGTTTTATGGCTGAGTCTCTGTTTAACATATGTATTTTAGACTTTTGAAGATATTTTATACTGTTTTCCAGTCTTTGGGATGTAATCTTAAGTAGCTTTTGAGATCAGTTTAGTGAGTTTTATTTATTTTTTTTATTTTTTTAAAGATTTTATTTATTTATTTGAGAGAGAGAATGAGATAGAGAGAGAGCATGAGAGGGGGGAGGGTCAGAGGGAGAAGCGGACTCCCCGCTGAGCAGGGAGCCCGATGTGGGACTCGATCCCGGGACTCCAGGATCATGACCTGAGCCGAAGGCAGTCGCTTAACCAACTGAGCCACCCAGGCGCCCCTAGTGAGTTTTATTTTTAAAAAGTCAGAGTGCATGAGATTAGCATAGGCTAGTATTGTTTCATGAAAATGTGTTACTTGTATGTGTCTTAGTGAGTATTTCATTCTCTGGGGTGTGATGGAAAATGTATCTTACTGTGATTTGCAGTCAAAATGTTTGAAAACCACTGCTTTATAGGGAATTTGGACTCAGTAATAAAAGGCAGATTTCTTTTTTTTTTTTAAAGATTTTATTTATTTATTTATTTGAGAGAGAGAGAGAGAGAGAGAGAGAGAGAAACAGCATGAGAGGGGGGAGGGTCAGAGGGAGAAGCAGGCTCCTCGCCGAGCCGGGAGCCCGATGCGGGACTCGATCCCAGGACTCCGGGATCATGACCTGAGCCAAAGGCAGTCGCTTAACCAACTGAGCCACCCAGGTGCCCGGCAGGTTTCTTTTCTTAAGATTTTATTTTAAGTAATCTCTACACCCAACGGGAGGCTGGAACTAACAACCCCAAGATCAACAGTCACACACACTACCAACTGAGCCAGCCAGGCGCATTTCTTACAAAGCATTTGAAACATTTACTTGTTTCTTTTTTTAAAAGATTTTATTTATTTATTTGAGCGAGAGAGTGAGCTAGAGAGCAGGAGTGGTGGTGGGCGGGGGTGGGGGAGGAGGAAGGGCAGAGGGAGAAGATGACTCCCCACTGAGCAGGGAGCCCCATGCGACTCCCAGGACCCTGGGATCATGACCTGAGCTGAAGGCAGATGCTTAACCGTCTGAGCCACCCAGGTGCCCTATTTACTTGTTTCTTAAGCACTTATGCAGAGCTTTGTTTCTGAAGAATTTTTGAATTATTTCTTTTGACTGATACATAAATAATCCTAGGGTAGATTTGTTTCATCTGTATTTCAGATGAATTTCCTAGGGTCCGGAAGATGAGTAGCCTGCCTAGGTCTCAACCAAAAATCAGAGGCAGAATTTAGATTTCTGTTTTAGAGACCTTGGATTTTTTTTTTTAATAAACATGTCTCAGCTTCTTTATTTAACTTGTTCAGCTACTTAATGCATAATTTGCTGGATGATATTGAGTGTACTGTAGAAGAAGAATGCAGTTAATCAGACTTCAGTTCTCAGGATTTGTTTATTTGGCTAAAAACAGAAGGAGAATTGTTCTCAGGATGGTCTAGATCATAGAGATTGCTATTGTCTTAAATCTGCTTTACTTTTGCTGTGAGTTCTTTTGTTACCAATTTACAGAACTTTTCAGGACTTCCTGTGTTCTTTGCTTTGGTTCATTGCAAAGGTTTGTATTGCCTGCATTCTTTTTAACCTTAAGGCTGACTATGGGATAACATATTAACATTTTCTGCTATTATTAGCTGTTAACATAATAACATTGGCAGGGTTAGTGGATTTCTAAAAAACAGAATTTCTGCTAGACCAAGGTAATTTTCTGTAAGCAGTCTAATGTGCTTTGGTGGCCATAGGGAACCATGCACACAGTAGAATCCTGTTGTTGCCAAGAGTAGAGGAAGAAAAGGGTCTGACTAGAACTACATATTTCATATTTATTAATAATAATTATTAGACCAATCCTTGGGTGTCTGAGATCATTTTGTTTTGTTATGAACTCTTTATCCACAGCCAAGATGCCTTATTTATGATTTGTGGAAAATACGATTTGATGGGCCTACCCTTGGTTGCTGATAGTTAAATGTCATTATCTCTTATTATTTATGGGGCTAAATTAGTAATTTTTCTAATTTGAAAGGAAAGGGTATAAATTTTGACTGTCTACCAGGTAAAGATAAAAAAAAACAAATATGTTCACATTCAAGAATTTGGGGTGACCACTCAGTATTGCATTTCTAGTCTCTTAATTAATAGCATAAGAAAGCCTGGGAAGAAATCTCCTTGAGACCCATAATTACCTTAAAAATAGCTTCCTTTTGGGACACCTGGGTGGCTCAGTCAGTTAAGTGGCTGCCTTCGGCTCAGGTCATGATCCCAGGGTCCTTAGGCTCAAGCCCCGCATCGGGCTCCCTGCTCAGTGGAGAGTCTGCTTCTTCCTCTCCCTCTGCCTGCTGCTCTGCCTACTTGTGCTCTTTCTCTATTTCTCTGTCAAATAAATAAATAAAATCTTAAAAAAAAAAGCTTCCTTTTGGTAAGAGCCGTGCCTTTCACTCCACTGTCAATCAAATTGCATTTAAAGGAGGAACATTGCATTGGACACTATATTGGCCCCCATACTGGCAAATTTTTATTATGATTACTCTAAATATACTTTGACATAAAGCTAGGTAGTAATTCTTATCCTTCTATGCTGAAGCTCCCAGTAGCTCTTAATCAACTACAAGATCAAAACTAAGTTTACAAATAATTCAGTAATAACAGTGGTAGGGTCAGTGGATTTAAAAAAAAAAATTAACATGCTGAACCAAGATTGTTTTCTTTAAGCAGTCTAATATATATTTTTAATTGATGAATAGTTGACAATGTTAAATTAGTTTCAGGTGTACAACATAATGATTTGACAATTTGACACATTACCACAATTTGATACACTACTCAGTGCTCACCAGGATAAGGGTAGTTGCCATCTACCACCATACAAATTTATTACAGTATTAGCAGTCTGATGTTTTGATGGCTCTAGGGAATCATGTAGGTAGTTCAGTTTAGTTCTATCAGTTGTTGCCATGATTTATATCTTTATGAATAAGTATACAGTTGTAAACCACACCATAAAACAAAATTCAAAATAACATTCATATTATTTGGTAGGGATGTCGTTTTGCTGAAATGCGGTACTTAATGTTGAACTTATTAGTGGAAAGATTTAGCCTTGGATTCAATAATATATTTCCTCTGTTTCTACATTTTAACTAGTTAATACTATGCAGAGAATATCATACAAGGTATGTATTTAAAATGTCAAGACATTGTTAAGCAGCATGTGATAATGGGATCTCACATGTAACCAAAACTGAATAGAAGTCCTTGAATGCCAATTTTAATGTGGTATTGATAGGCGTATTGTCAGAGTTAGAGTTGCCTTGTTCAAATGAAGATAAGATTTGTGTTGCAAATGAGAACACACAGAATGGGAGGAAGTTTGTGCAAATCAGATATCTGATAAGGGGCTTGTATCTAGAATATATAAAGAACTCTTACAACTCAATAATAAAAAAGATAACTCAACTTAAAAAATGGGCCAGTGATCTGAATAAGTATTTCTCCTAAAAAGATGTACAAATGGTCTATAAACACATGAAGAGATCCTCAATATCATTAGCCATCAGGTAATGCAACTCAAAACCACAATGAGTTACCATTCACACCTACTATGAGGGCTATAATAATGTGTTGGTGGGAATGTAGAGAAATCCACTGCTTGTGGGATTATGAAATGGTGCAGAAAACAGCCTGGTAATTCCTCAAGAGGTTAAACATAGAGTTACCATATGACCTAGCAATTCCACATCTAGGTGTATATCCAAAAGAGTAAGAACATATGTCTACTCAAAAACTTGTACATAAATGTTCATAGCAGCATTATTCATAATAGCCAAATTGTAGAAATAATCCAATGTCCATTAAGTGGTACATGGATAAATAAAATGTATATCCATACAATAGAATATTATTGGCAGTAAAAAGAAATTAAGTACCGATTCATGCTACAAGAGGGCTGGACCTTGGGAGCATTATGCTAAGTGATAGCAGTCAAGCACAAAAGATCACATGTATAATTCCATTTATATGAAATGTTTAGAATAGGCAAATCCATAAGAGACAGGAATTAGTGGTTCCCTAGGCCTGGTTGGGGTGGGGGTTGGGAAGAAATGGGGAGTGATTGCTGATAGGTACAGGGTTTCTTTTTTGGGGTGATGAAATTGTTGTAAAATTGATTGTGGTTGTGGTTGCACAACTCTGTGGATATACTAAAAACAATTTAACTGTACTCTTTGAGTGTATTGTATGGTATATGAATTATATCTCATTGAAACTGTTATTTTAAAATTGCATTGCAGTTTTTGAAACCTGTTAAATGATAATGGGAATTGAGAATAGAAACAAATTTAATTGCATATTTGCCATCACACTTCCGGCTGATGTACATAGCGAGTTGCTGTGTTAAAGGTGAGATTCACACAGTACACTTGATAAGGTACTGCCTGCCTGTGCTACTCTATCCTACCTACTAGTCTCTCTTTAGTTTAGTGCACATACAAACCACAAATGTGGGCAACAGATTTGGGCAGAACTCAGTTATAATATGGATACCTATTTGTTCCAGAAAATGCTTGTGTTATTTTTTTGAAAAATTATCACTGAAATGAAGACACTAAAATAAAAAGATATAAGATATCATAGATAACCATGGACCCTTGAGAAATGGTGATCTAGAGGTGGCTCTTAAACTATAAGAGAGGTGGCAGCTTCCTTCTTTTTTTTTTTTTAAGATTTTATTTATTTATTTGACAGAGAGAGACACAGCGAGAGAGGGAACACAAGCAGGGGGAGTGAGAGAGGGAGAAGCAGGCTTCCCGCTGAGCAGGGAGCCCGATGCGGGGCTCGATCCCAGGACCCTGGGATCCTGACCTGAGCCAGCAGACGCTTAACGACTGAGCCACCCAGGCGCCCCGGCAGCTTCCTTCTTTAAATTGTTATTACAGCTTCGCAAAAGTATCTAAGATCTGGTATATGATTTTTCCCTTGTTCAGTGCACATATTCATAAACTTCATTTTTTTTTTTCATTTTTCATTAGGTAAGGATAATGGAAACGCAGGGAGCATCATTGGTTTCTAAGAAACCTAACGAATATAAAGGGCAGCAAATAGTTGTTTAGTTTCTTAGAGATTTTACATTCCTGGAAACTCAGAGTTTGAGGAACCTTAAGAATAACCTAAACAAATATTTGGTTATTTCTTGGCTTCTTGAGAAGAACTGGAATTGGGGAGAAGGAATTCTTAAACCCTGGTGTTTCAAGGTCAGACGTAGATAGATGTAAGTAGATAGATGTAATCACTATTCATGCCAACCTGCTCTGTGGGTAGGAGTCCTGGTTCTGCAACTTAATAACTTGAGCAAGTGATGCACTGAACCTTGGTTCCTTCCTCTGTGGAAAAAAGGGATGAATAAACAACATTGAACTATTATGTACAGAGCTTGAATAAGAAAAACGTATGGTAAAGGAAAAGTCAGAGATTTATGATACTTGATTTTATGTGGGAAACTTAAATAAAAGGACACTTTTTTTTTTTAAGATTTTATTTATCCATTTGACAGAGAGACAGCAAGAGAGGCAACACAAGCAGGGGGAGTGGGAGAGGGAGAAGCCGGCTTCCCACAGAGCAGGGAGCCCAATGTGGGGCTCGATCCCAGGACCCTGGGATCATGACCTGAGCCGAAGGCAGACGCTTAAGGACTGAGCCACCCAGGTGCCCCAAAAGGACACTTTCATTTACATCTTGTGAATTGTTATTTTTTTATGACGAAAGTGAGGATTTCTGGAAACTAGCAAGGGGGAGAGGAAGGAACCAACAGGACAATAAACATGCAGGAACTTAAAAATGCCTTTTTTGTAGAGTAAGCCTGCCTTGTTCTAACTTTCCAGTCACTTTGGTATTAATTGAAAACTCCCATCCTGGGTACATTTTACACTCTGTAATTACTTTGTATACGGTAGTGCTCCCAATTTTAGCAACAATTGTACAAAATACAGTGGACTCTTTTGTCAAAAGTCTGAAAAAACTAAACGATAAGAAAGTAAGAATTTTAATTATGGGGGGAGAATAGCTACATCAGGGTCCCAAGGGTACTACTTTTGGGAAACACTGTTCAGATTTTGACTGTATAACTACTTTTAGAAAGATGAGGAAATTGAGAAAAGAAAAATAAGTCATACCAGCTTGCCACCTAATATAGTTACTATCATAGTTGTATTAATTTCCTTTTACTTTTTTCTGTTCATATCTTAATTAGTTTTAATAATAACAAGTATATAATTTTGTATTTTGTTTTTGTAATTTAACATGTCATTGGCACTTCTTGTTGCATTATTTTTATAACTATACTTTTAAGTGACAGTGCCATAACCTAATTAAACATTCCCTAAGTGTTGGGTATATATGTGTATTTATATCTTGCTTGCAGTTGTTTATTATTATAGATGCTAACGTGAAGTTCTTTGGGCATATAATTTTTCTATTTTTAAGACCTTTTCTTTTCTTTTTTTTTTTTTTAAAGATTTATTTATTTGACAGAGAGAGACACAGAGAGAGGGGGAACACAAGCAGGGGGAGTGGGAGAGGGAGAAGCAGGCTTCCCGCGGAGCGGAGAGCCCGATGCGGGGCTCGATCCCAGGACCCCGGGATCATGACCTGAGCCGAAGGCAGACGCTTAACGACTGAGCCACCCAGGCGCCCCAAGACCTTTTCTTAAAATAGATTATTAGAAGTAGGAATTCTATGAAGTACAACTTTTAATGGATTTTTTTTTTTTAAGATTTTATTTATTTGACAGAGACAGACACAGTGAGAGCAGGAACGTAAGCAGGGGGAGTGGGAGAGGGAGAAGCAGACTTCCCGCAGAGCAGGGAGCCCGATGCGGGGCTCAATCCCAGGACCCTGGAACCATGACCCAAGCCGAAGGCAGACGCTTAACGACTGAGCCACCCAGGTGCCCCCTTTTAATGGATTTTGACATCTGTTGGGCTTGTTCTATTTTAAAACAAGTGTTTTGGGCTGAATTCTTTATTTGCTTGCTTGTTGTGATTTTCAGATATGTGGAGAAGTGCCTTTGTTTATTTAGCTACATTTTTCTACTACTCTAATTCTCTCTCTCTCTCGTCCTTTTTTAGGCTAAATTGATTACCCACCCAGCACAGCATCTTACAGGAAAAGCATAGCATTTCCTAGAGGAATATGAGCATAACAGGAAGGTGTCATTGACTCTGAATTAAATTTTTAACCTGTCCCTGAACAGCTACAGGATTTGGAAGCTGAATCAATGTTATCAGATGAGTTAGAATCCAAACCAGAGGTGAGCCCAGGCAGTGCTATCTATCTATCTATCTATCTATCTATCTATCTATCTATCTATCTATCTATTTATTTTATATTTTTTTGTGGGCTATCTTCCGAGGTTTGTCTTTAGTTCAGGAAGTCAGTAAACTTCTGGAATGAGCCAGATAGTAAATATTTTACGTTTTGTGGGCCATATGGTTTTGGTCGTAACTACTAGTTTATTACTTTTTCTGTCACTAAGTACTTTTTCAAAGATTTAAAAACTCTTTTTTACCTATAGCCTTTTATGTTTATTTAAGTAAGTATAAGTTCTTATACATCTAGGTAATTACATAATGACAAAAATTTTATATATATATGACATATATGTGGATATGTATATACATATATAAATATTTACTACCACAACCATTTTTCAGTTAATTTTGTATGTATCTGAAAGTGTTTTCTTTCTAAATGCGATTAGAGGATTTAAATATTATTTATTTATTATTTATTTTATTTTCATTTATTTTTTTAAGTAGGCTCCATGCCTAGTGTGGAGCCCAACATGGGGCTTGAACTCATGACCCTGAGATTAAGACCTGAGCTGAGATCAAGAATCGGAGGCTTACCTCGCTGAGCCACCCAGGCGCCCCTAAACATTTTTTATTTTTACTCATTTCTCTTCCTTTAATTTTAGTACATCTGTGTCACATAGTGGAAAGGTCAATGAATTTGGAATCAGGTTAAGTTTGAAGATTTACTTCCTGTACTAGTCATGTGACCTTAGATAAGTCATTTGATGTCTTCAACTTGATTCCTTATCTTTATTTATTTTTTATATTCCTTATCTTTAAAATACATGTTCAATTTTACTGGGTTAAGGTGAGGATTAAATGAGCCAGTATAATACAGCTTTTCTTTAGAACAGAGCACTTGATAAAAATAACTTTAAATGTTATTTTGTAGTTAATTTAGTTTTTCTGTGAATGTGGTTGAGACTAAGAAGCAATAAAGACTTAATTACGCTATGAACTTTTGGTAAATTCAGAGGTTTAGATTCATTCCTAACAACTTGTATTTTTCAATATTGTCTCTTCCTCCTCTCCCTGCCCATCCCCACCCAGCTCCTGGTACAGTTTGTTCAGAATACGTCCATCCCATTGGGACAGGGGCTAGTAGAATCAGAAGCTAAAGACATTACTTGCTTATCCCTCCTTCCGGTGACTGAGGCCTCAGAATGCAGTCGGCTAATGTTACCAGGTAAAAATTAAGATTACAAGAAATAAGATAAGCAAGTTTTGAGAGCTTAGCCTCCTCTATCATACTGGTGGGATGGGATAAATGACTTTATAACTGACTCATAGAAACTGTAAATCTAGGAATCATGAAGAATAAGCAACCATAGGAGTTAACAAGTGCATTGGTAATTTAAGCCATAGTAATGGATAGGATCATTCATGAAATGTGAGAGTGAGAAGAAAAGACCAATGTGGAGCTCCCTATTCAAGGTACAGGGTAAAGCAGGAGAGCCTATGAAGGAGGGAAGAAGGAAAGGCTAGAGCAGTAAGAGAAATATGGGTACAGAGTGCAGGCATGAAACTCAAGAGAATAGTCACTGTGTCAGATGCTTCTAAGAGGCCCATGAGATAGGGACTGTCCCAATGAGATAGGGCCAACAAGGCCATTGTTGACGTTGGCAGGACCTGTTCCATGGAAAGGTAATGGAAAGCCAGGTTGTAGAGGGTTGAGGTATCAGTGCAAGGTAAGTGTAGTTGAGGAAGTAACCACACTTTCTCAAGGCTCTCCTGCTATGGGAAGGAAAAAGAGAAGGACATAAAGTAGATGGCAGAATTCTTTTTTAAGATCCGAAATATTTGAGGATGGTTTTATGCTAAGAGGAAAGAGCCAGTTGGAGAGGTGCAAACAGAGAGTGGTTAATTAGTGGGGAGGCTCCAGGAGAGGTAGGAGGAACTAGAATGCTGATCATGAGTTGTGAGATTAACTTTGGATAGGGAGAAGGAGATCCTATCCCTTGACTGTTAGCAAGGAGAACATTATTTTTGGGTGCAGTAAGTTCTTTATTTTCTGGAAATTGGAATATTTAAAATTTGGAATACTGATGTTAAATCAGGGGAGGGGAGGGTCACCACCTATTGGTGATTGGTGACAGCTTATTATAAAGTCTTCTAGTTACTGTTCTCTAGTGATGTCCTGTTTCTTTGATTTTTTTTGAAGTGACTTAAAAATTTTTTTCAATGTTTAAAGATTCAAGAAGGACAGATACATTCAACCAACCAGTGTTGACTTAAGGTTTCCCTGTCTAGTTCCTAGCTTTCGCACATCTTCTGTCGTTCAACTCCTACTATTTTTCTACTGGTATGTTGGAGTTTTTCCAAATCCTTATGGATTTTCAATATGTGTACATTTCCATGTACTAATGAATTTTGATCTTCATTGGGCTTAAATTTTTCTCTCCTGATTTTAATTTGTTTAATAAATATTTTAACAATATTGAAATGAAAAGAACAAAATCATTAATCTTCTTTTCTACATTAACTTTAGTTTTAATTTTGATTAAAAATATTTTATTTTATTTTTAAAAAGTTTTTATTTATTCATTTAAGTAATCGCTACACCCACTATGGGGCTCAAACTCACAACCCCAAGATCAAGAGTCTCATGCTCTTTTGATCGAGCTTGCCAGGTACCCTGATTAAAAATATTTTAGATAACCAATATCAATAATAATAAGTGAAAACCCATGTACTCACCTCCCAGCTCATGAAACATAATATTACAAACACAAATGTATCTGAACATACCTCCCTAACTTTATTCCCCTCCCTCTTAAATATGTGTGTATCATTCCATGCATGGCCGGTATGTTTTCTTTTTAGTTGGGATTTGTGATAGATACAGAAAAGTATAAAACCCTGTGCTTATACATTTCGAAGAATTATTATAAAGGAGATACCCACCACCCAGTCAAGAAGTAGAACCTTACCAGCTCCCAAACCCCCATGGTTTCCTCCCTGATAAAGACAACCTCTGTTCTTCCTAGGTCACCACTACCCTCAATTATTTGACCCATATTTGATTCCCAAGTTTAACCACTGAGATCTAAGCAATGCAGTTTAATCTTAGGTGTTTTTAGACCTTGGAATCATATGAATGTATATTGTTGTACCTTTCTTACGTTATTCTATAGTTGTGAGATTCATCCTTGTGTGTATAAGCTGTGGTTGGTTTCATTGCTATATAGAGTTCTGTTATATGAGTGTAACCACAGCTTCTTTATCCATGACACTGTTGATGAATACTTAGCTATTTTCCAGTGTTTTACTGTGACAAACAGTACTGCTATGAACTTCATTAAAAACTTTTTGTGTATGATAAAATATACATAACTAAAGATTTGCCATTTAAACCAGTTAACCATTTTAATCACATAAACTTACAATTTAACCAGTTCTGTGACATTAAGTACATTCATATTGTACTATTTCATTAGACTTTGAAATGACAGTACTGTCTATCCTTAGGCTTCCACTTTCATTCCTATAATATCTGTTAACTTCCTTAAAAAAAGGAAAAAAAATGATCTGCCTTTTATAAAGATGACTGAAACCCCTGAAAACATTGAGTGCTTTAGCACTATAGTGCAATTCCTTGTTTTGCAACCAAAACCTTTGGAAAGTCATTCCTTTCCTTAGAATAAAGTCCTAGAGAACAAGTCTTCTGAATTATTTCTTTACATTTCAGTGTAAACCCGGAAGTATAATGAAACATATTTATGATTCTATAAAATTTCAGTGATTTCTCAGGCTGTGGTTTTTTTCCCCCTAATGACTCAACAGCACTGTCACATACATGCTATAAAAATGAAAGGGAGGGATCTCTTCCCAAGAAAAATAATTTAAAATTTAGATCCTATGTTAGTATTCATTGTATAACTATATTTTTTGAGGGGAAAAGTACTGATTTCTGGCCTTGAAAGGACAAAGGCCTGTGATGTCCAAATGTGGATGGTTGGTTGGTACATCCAAATGTCAAACGAGTCTGTCCCTCACATTTTGGCTGACTCCTTTTAAAACTTAAAGTTATCTCTCTGTTCTCTTCTGAGGGAAATTCTGTATTTGTAAAATAAAAAGGCTGCTGCTCCTAGAAGGGATGTGATAGGGGCGTTCGGTGCCGTGTATCAGAATGGTGAGCCCCGTGGAGAGAGGTGCCACATAAAGCTGTGGTCTTTTCCCTTTGCTAGATGATACTCCAAGTCATACAAACTCCTCCAAGGAGGTCCCTTCCTCGGCTGTGTTGAGAAGCCTTCAGGTGAATGTGGGCCCAGACGGAGAGGAGACGAGGGCTCAGACTGCACAGAAGTCCCCGGAGTTTTTGTCCACTCCAGAGTCTCCCAGCTTGTTGCAAGATCTACAGCCAAGTGATAGCACTTCTTTTATTCTTCTTAACCTAACGAGAGCAGGTATTCTTTATCTTTTTCTGAACTCTGCTCATGCTTAAGAAAAAAACTGGGTGGCGGGGCATATTTAACCCAGTCATACTTAAAATGGAAAGAAACCTTATTATTTTATTATTTTAGAGAATTGGTATAGTCTGGTGATCAGTTGAATGTGTAGGGGGAGAAGGCAGACTTCAGGAAGAAGTTTCTTGTTTGGGAAATTAGGTTGTGCCATTCAGCAAGATAGTGAGCCCAAGAACAGGGCTGGGCGGGGAGGATGATTAGTTCCAGTTTGTGCTTGTTGATGTTGGGATTTCAGAGGGACATTCATGAGGAGGTGTTCTTTAGAGAGTTAGAAACAGGAATCCAGAGTTCTAGAAATGTCTGTGTGAAATAAGTTGTTTTGGTGCTTATCAGCATTCAGGAAATGTATGAAACCGTGAACATGGATTCTTTGATTCAGGAGCATAAACAGAAAAGTAGGCAAATCTGGGACCCTGGAAAAAACACATTTAAGAGGGGAATAACAAAGGAGTGGGGAGGAGCTGCCAGAGAGGGATAAAGAAAACAGAAGGAGAGTGCTATGCGAGAAGCCAAGAGAGGGAAAATGTCTTAAAGAAAAAAAAGTAGTAAATCAAGCCAATACCACAGGAAGGGCTAATGAGGTGAGGACTGGGGAGTGTATGTCTAATGACCCGAGCAAGAGCAGTTGTTACTGAGGTAGTAGAGGTGGAGGCCGGGTTCTAACCATGGTGGGGAGTGGATGACAGGTGAGAAAGTGGATACCCAAGTTAGAAGTTACGCTTGCAGGAAACTTGACTGTGAGACAGTAAATAGCTAGAGAAGTACTTGGGATTTTCTCTTCTTTTTAAAAATAAAGATGGGCAAGACAGATTTAAAGGCTCTAAGGGGAGGTTGTAAGGTGGCCAGTAGAGAGGAATGGCTTGCAAATGGCGGAGAGAGGGTCAGGATACTAGCTTGCTTACCCTGGGGGGACAGCTTTGCCTTTGAAACCAGAGGGGGTAAGAAAGAGAAGCCTGTCGTCTGGGAGTGGAAAGGTGATAGATAACCTAGTGTAGTAGGAGAACAGAAGCTTGAGGTGAGAGGTGAAAATCTGGAATAGCTGATTCAGGCCATGAAGTATCCGAGCCAGGGCCGATAGAAGGGCAATTTGATGGGTAGCTTTCACATATCCTCTCGTTTCTTCCAGGTCTGGGCTCTTCAGCTGAGCACTTAGTATTTGTACAAGATGAGGCAGAGGATTCAGGGAATGATTTCCTCTCCAGTGAGAGCACGGACAGTAGCATCCCATGGTTCCTCCGGGTTCAAGAGCTGGCTCATGATAGTCTGATTGCTGCTACTCGCGCACAGCTGGCAAAGAGTGCAAAAACCAGCAGCAATGGTGAGACCCCTGTGACGTTTTCCCTTCCCATATTCTCTGTGGGGATTTTGGCAATACAATGACCATATTTTGAGTTGACTGGAATCTGAGTTATTGGTGAGAGCAGACCCCTAGAAATGTGTACACTGTTTGTCTTATTTTCTATGAAATAACTTAGCTATGCCAGATTCATGTGCAAAATCAACAACACTAGCATTCTCAGTTGTCAGCTTTAAATAATGTACACAGCCCCTTTAAAGGGAAAACAAGATGTTATCTTGAATTGTTTTTATTGTACTGTTCCCTATACTTAGAGCTTTTATACCATTATAAAATCAAAACAGTATTACCAACTAATAGGAATAAAACTACAAAACCAGTGAGAATAAAGTTAATATTTTATTTTGGCAGACGATGGTGTTTTGCTGAAACTGCCTCTGCTGCCTTTTGTTTTGGAACCAGTTCATCATATGACCTTAAATATCCAAACAGTCTGTAGGGCTGTTTCTTTTGAGTTGAGCATGCTGGTACTAACTCTGTGCCACTTTTCTCTGTTCAGTAGTTTTCAGGTATAGTCCTCAAATCATCAGCATCACCTAGGAACATTGAAATACAAATTCTCAGGCCTCATCCTACTGAACCAGAAACATGCGATCTTTTAGTAAGCCCTCTCAGTGGTTCCAATACATGTTAAAGCTTGAGAACCATGACTGTAAACCACCCCTAAACCAGTGCACAACCTTTGCTTATGTAACATGCCATAATACTTTTTGTTTTAGAGCTGCTTCTATATTTTCTCTTTAATCTGTGACAATTAAGGTACTACAAATTATTAAGGTTAAGGTACACACTATCATTGTCACAAACCAAACTTAAGCACTGAAATCTTATGTTGGTACATGGCTGTTTGGAGCTCATCTGGATGATCTAGAATATGCTTATGATTATTTTGTGATTACCATGCAAGTGAAAATAAAAAATTAAAAACTTTTGCAAGGATCCCTGTGAATGTTTCAGAATATTCCAGTTTTAGAAACATTAACCTAAATCTTTTCTACATAGAGAACTCCAAACTTCTTTTTTTTTTAAGTTTTTATTTAAATTCCAGTTAGTTAACATACAGCATAATATTAGTTTCAGGTGTACAATATAGTGATTCAACACCAGGTGCTCATCACAAGTGCATTCCTTAATCTCCATCACCTATTTCATCCATCCCTCACCCACCTCCCCTCTGGTGACCATTGGTTGTTTTCTATTGGTAAGAGTCTGTTTCTTGGTTTGCCTCTCTTCTTTTTTCCCGTTTGCTCTTTTGTTTCTTAATTCCACCTGTGAGGGGCCCCTGGGTGGCTCAGTCGTTAAGCGTCTGCCTTCGGCTCAGGTCAGGATCCCAGGGTCCTAACCCCGCATCGGCCTCCCTGCTCCACGAGAAGCCTGCTTCTCCTTCTCCCACTCCCCCTGCCTGTGTTCCCTCTCTCGCTATGTCTCTGTCAAATAAATAAATAAAATCTTAAAAAAAAAAAAAATTCCACCTGTGAGTGAGATCATCTGGTATTTGTCCTTCTCTGACGGACTTATTTCACGTAGCATAATAGTTTCTAGCTCCATCCATGTCACTGCAAAGAGAACTCCAGACTTCTTTTTTTTTTTTACTTTCCTACTTTTAAAAAATTTTTATTTTGTTATGTTAGTTTCATCTTGTTTCATTTTTTTCCTCCCTTCCCCTGTGATCCTCTGTCTTGTTTCTCAAACTCCTCCTATCAGTGAGATCATATGATACTTGCCTTTCTCTGATAGACTTATTTCGCTTAGCATAATACTCTCTAGTTCCATCCACGTCGTTGTAAATGGCAAGATTTGGGTTTTTTTTTTTTTGATGGCTGCATAATATTCCATTGTATATATACACCACATCTTCTTTATCCATTCGTCTGTTGATGGACATCTTGGCTCTTTCCATAGTTTGGCTATTGTGGACGTTGCTGCTATAAACATTGGTGTGCACATACCCCTTCGGATCACTACATTTGTATCTTTGTGGTAAATACCCAGTAGTGCAATTGCTGGATCATATGGTAGCTCTATTTTCAACTTTTTGAGGAACCTCCATACTGTTTTCCAGAGTGGCTGCACCAGCTTGCATTCCCACCAAAGTGTAGGAGGGTTCCCCTTTCTCCTCATGAGAACTCCAGACTTCTGTTAGTTTCAACATAATTAGTTCTGCTTTGACTACTGTAATGCTGCTTAGAATGGCCAGTTTTACCATTTTGGGGAGGCTCTAAAGTTCAGATTCTTCCTGAGATGCTTTTGCTAATCTCTGGGTCCTGAAACCGGCAGCATCTCCTCCTTGCATTAAGGAAGCAGTGCGGTATGAGCCAGGAAGAAGCTGGTGCAGGGAGGGAACCTTGGGCTTGGCCTCTGGAGAGCTGGAATCCAGACCTGATGCTGTTATTAACTCATCCTCTGCCTGGGGGACTTAACCTTCTTAGCTGCAGTTTTCTCTTGTTCAGAACACAGAGATCAAGTAGCTTACCTGATTGGGTTGTTTTGGAGATTTAAATAAGATTTTGCCTGGGAAATGCTTTATAATCAGCAAAGCATTGTGTGGATGTTTTTATTACTCTCAGAATATTTTACCTTATTACCTAACAACTACCTCGTATACTTGAATATAAAGTGAGCCCAAATATATGACAGTCTTCTATTTTATCAATGAGATGATTCCATAAAACCCTTTGAGGGGGCTAACTTAGGTATATAAACCGTTAGTCATAGAGATAAAATTAAACACTGTGAGTGGTTTTTTGAAAATGTTATTATTTTGATTACACACCCTTTAAATCATGAAATATATTAATATTGCTTTTCACCCACTAACATAATGAAATTATTTTATTTGGTATTTAAATGCATCTTTAACATAAATATCTTTGTTGTTACTAAAGCCATTTTGTGAGTCCGGTAGCAGTTTCTCAGAGCACATCTTCACTTCTATCTAAGTTGATTGAAATACAGATATATTTAAATTTTGTATATGATGCTTTATGTTATAAGGGGTTAGCAAAGGGCCGGATAACCACCTGTTTTATAAATAAAGTTTTGTTAGAACACAGGCGTGCCCACTCATTACAAATTGCCTGGGTGCTGCAGTGGCAAAGTTGAGTTGTTGTGACAGAGACCGTATGGTCCTCCAACCAAAAATACTTAGTATCTGGCCCTTTACAGAATAAGTTTACTGACCCATACTATATATGATACTTTCACTGGAAATTTTATCCCAAATGCAAAGACCTCACATAACTGTGGGATCTTTAAAGTGTTTACAGTGTTATCCAATGTGCGCCATGTAAGGTGTTGAATTTCTTTGTCTTTCTCTTTTTTTGTGGGGGGAACCAGTTCATCAGATGATCTCTGAATATCCAAAACTATCATTGGTTGATGTCATTTTAAGCTAATCCATCTTCTGCAAACAGTGCTTTGTGTTTTTAAGGGAGTAGTTTCATAAGGACTCAAATACAAGGCAATTCACTGTTTTCTGAGCAGTTTTTAAATTTCATGATTCTGTCAGTGTTCTCATTGTATATACAACATTGAATGCACAGAGTCCCAAATGTCAGCGGTTTAAATTTCTGTATTAGTGTGGGATTTCTACTGATCTTTCATTAGAAATTAATTAGCTGGAGCTCTGGAGTTGGTGGGAAATTTCCTTTATGGTATATACAGTTTTGTACTGTTTAAAATTTACCTATGTGCGGCTGTTTTTCAATTAAATAAAAAAAAAACTGTGGGACAATATTAAAAAAGAAAAAAATTAATAGCAAAAGGCATCTTAGATTCTACTCTGACCTTGGAGCAATTAGTTTTATAATTAGCATTTGATGACTTGTACAGCAAGGAACATGTAGGACAGGAAGAGATTAAGATTAGTAGACGGGATGGAAACCTTGATCAACTGTCAGGTTCCAGGAAATGTGATGGGCACAACATTTATTGTCCCTATTCTTGGCTTTTGAGAGGGAAATTTGGAAATATAAATCTTATTCCTGAGGTATATGTAGTAGAAAGATAAACTCCATATGCTTGAGGCATAATTAAGTAGTCATAAATATTTTTCTCTGTTGATATCCAACTATATCTTGAAGAAAATGAAAGAAAAGGAGTACTACCTGTGAATCTGGGATTTATATAAAGCTTTAACTGATTTCACTTAAGTTTAAGGGAGGCACTGTACTACGTGCTCATTTTCTTCCTTCCTTTTGTTCTGTTGAACAAAAAACTTCATGTTATTTCTAGCTTTTAAAAATGTGGTTAGATACTGTAAAATCAGCCGAGTTTTTGTATTCTTAAAGAGAAGTGGCACAGGAAATTGGAAGGTTATTCTTATTCTCTAAAATGATAGAAACAGCCAAATTGACCTCAGAAGATAGAAATCTAAGAGTGATCATTTACAAAAGAAATCACAAGCATAAGCCCAGAACTAAGCCATAATGGCTGCCCCTCCTAAAATAAATACAAGTTCGGTAATACCTGGAACAAGAAGCCATCTTTAGCATCCCACTCTGGGTGTTGACGCATATGCTTCCCTGCCAATTTGTGTAATGCAGGATAGGTTTAACTCTCTTTTTTTTATGTGAAACCATTGTGGACATTTCTTACATTTGCCAAAGAGGCCTGGTCTTGTGAAACGAAGCATGATGGCTTTTGAAAATTCTCTGGAGTAAGGGGATGGGAACAAATTGTGTGCTCAGTTGTTAGATGGGTATCAAGAGAGCTAGGGAAGCTGAAGATAGATACCTGCTTATTGATCAGTAGGAGTAAAATATAGGAGCTTTATTGTTTGAAACAAAGTACCTCAGCAGCTTCCTTCCCTGGATTACAAATATGTGACTGTGTTACAGGAGAAAATGTCCACCTCAGTTCTGGTGATGGGCAGCCCAAAGATTCTGGGCCCCTTCCTCAAGTGGAAAAGAAGCTCAAATGTACAGTTGAAGGCTGTGACCGGACATTTGTGTGGCCAGCTCACTTCAAGTACCATCTCAAAACACATAGGTGAGCATATTTGAGGTTCCATACTTGGAGCTCAAGAATGTTGAGGCTTCTGGAGGAGCTTGTCCCCCATTGACACATTAAAGGAAAGCAGGGGCTCCAGTTCACTTGTGATTAAGATGTCTTTTGTTTTTTAATAGAAGGGTTTGCATTGTCTCATTTACCTCATTTTTCACAAATACTTAGTAAGACATTTGGTACCTAAGCGTCTTAGAACAAGAGTTCTGGAATCTCCTTTTAAAATATAATTTCTTGGAAGACTTAAAAAAAATACATAAGCATGGGTGCACTCATAAACCTGTGAAATCATTTTTCAAGAAGTAAGGTGTGGGGGGCGCCTGGGTGGCTCAGTTGGTTGAGCGACTGCCTTTGGCTCAGGTCATGATCCTGGAGTCCCTGGATCGAGTCCCGCATCGGGCTCCCTGCTCGGCGGGGAGTCTGCTTCTCCCTCTGACCCTCCCCCCTCTCATGTGCTCTCTCTCATTCTCTCTCTCTCAAATAAATAAATAAAATCTTTAAAAAAAAAAAAAAAGAAGTAAGGTGTGGGGCACCTGGCTGTTGGTAGAGCATGCAACTCTTAATCTTGGGGTTGTGAGTTCAAGCCCCACGTTGGGCATAGAGATTACTTTAAAAAAAGGGGGTGGGGAGTAAGGCCTGGGGCATCTCTGGTTTTAATAAACTTCAGATGATTCTGGTATATCCAGGTTTGGGAATTACTGTCTGCTTTGAGAGGCAATAGGAGCTTTGATTTGTCCTTTCTAGCAAAGAGCATTTTCAGGTATTGTTGCTTATGTGATTTTTTTTCCCCCCCCTAGAAATGACCGCTCTTTCATCTGTCCTGCAGAAGGTTGTGGGAAAAGCTTCTATGTGCTGCAGAGGCTGAAGGTGCACATGAGGACCCATAATGGGGAGAAGCCCTTTATGTGCCCCGAGTCTAGCTGTGGTAAGCAGTTCACTACAGCTGGAAATCTGAAGAACCACTTGCGCATCCATACAGGTGTGTGCAACCCCAACTTCCCTGTAGGCAATCTTCCTCTGGGCTCGAGGTTTGCTCGCCTGTCCTTAGGAAAGGCTCTGACGTGGGAATAGAAATGAAGGTTTAGGCTTGTTGCTAAAACTCTGAAAATGGGATTTCTTTTTTTCACATGCTTCATGGCACTTTTCAGTTAATTCAGTAACATTTATGACCTTTCACCTGTGTGTGAGGAATGGATAGTGTTGATTTCTGCCTGTAGGAGCCTAAAGTGCAGGAAGGGATATAAGACCTTCTCTGATAACAATGATATGCTGAGATATGGACAAAATCAGTATTTCCAAATATCTTCGAATGTTACACGATTGTAATTTTGATCAGTAGTACTCATTGAATCACACAAACCATACAGAGCCTCTGCTAGCCCCTAAATGGGGTAAGGGGAAGGGGAAATACAAAAGCTAAGATGAATCCCTGACTTTGAGGAGTTTGCTTTTTTGGTGGAGCCTCACAGCATGAGAAGCAGAATGGGAAGGTGACTTGATCTGGGTCAAATAGCGTATTAATATCAAAGGAGCAAAATAAAGATACCCTGACTCTCATTCTAAGAGTGTAAGGTAACTTTCCAAGCCACCTGGCCTAAAATGTGCTAAGTTTCTTGTCAGAGCTTAATCACTGAACCGAGACCAGTCTTAGGATATGTAACTGTTCTTCCCCACTTTCTTGCCACTTTCTTCTTGCATTGCTAAAATGACAGCAGGTACAATTAAAGGGCATTCAAAAGTGAAACCCAAGCTGAAGCCATTTTGTTCTAGGTACGTCCCTGTGATTCCTGCTAGATTGACGTTACCACCGGATATGTTTTAGGGCAGAATAGCTCTGTTCTCAGCTTTTTCCTGAGAGACTAAACTATACTCTCTCCAAGAAGCACTTTGAATAAAAGAACAAGAAAAACATCTAGCAGACTAGATAAGGGAAGAAGTGGAGTTCACCATGCTTTATGGTTGAATTCATTAACCTCTTCATCCTCGTGCTGCGCATCCCCTTTGTAGATTAGATAAAACTGAACATCTTAAAATGCTTTCTTTTACTGTGGAGTATGACCTTATTTTCTCTCCTCATTCTAGCTCCTGCTAGCTCTCCCTTGTGAATCTCCTAATTGCTCACCGTTTCCAGAACTTGTCGTTTCTCCCGTTTCACTCAGTGTGTCTCTCGCCACAGTGTCGGGGCGCAGTGTAATCATTTATCCCTGGATGCCTCACAGATCCCAGTTGCCAGAATTCATATAATAATAAAAGTTAGCATTTATTGAGGCAATTTAGTATGTGTCAAGTACATGTACATTGTCTCTTTTAGTCCTCAACGATACTTATGAATTAGATACTGTATTTATTGGCAAAGAAATAGGGGATTAGAGAGTTAAACAACTTGCCCAATATTACACAGCTAGGAAATGGCACAGTTGGGATTTGAATTCCGGTCAGACCCAAAAGCTCTTACAAGGATTTTGTTTTCAAATGCTGACAGCTCAGTTTATCTTAAATGTCAAAGTGACCGCAGATCTTTATTAGTAGTGACAACAGTAATTAAAGCTCCCGATTTCAGCTTACCATGAGGGCTGACTATGTGCCAGACACCATGCTGAATATATTTAACTTGTGTCTCAGTTCTCACAGTAACCTTTTGAGATTGTATTATGTTAATTTAATTTAAAATTTTTTTAAGATTTATTTATTTTAGAGAGAGAGAGCACACTTGAACGTTGGGGAGGGGCAGAGGGAGAGAAGCAGACTCCCTGCTGAGCAGCATGGGGTGGGGGTGGGGGGCCCTTGATCCCACCACTCTGAAATAATGGTTTGAGCCAAAATCAAGAGTCGGATGCCCAACCCACTGAGCCACCCAGGCACCCCGGAATTCCTCCCTTTTCTAAATATTTATAGCACTTTTTTGTACAGGAATTTATATTAAAGTTATTTATGAATACATTTATCTTTCACACTAGTCTGTGACCTTTAGATAGGAACTGCCATCTCTGATTTTTTTCTCACTTTTTATTTTGAAATTATTACAGTCTCATGAGAAGTTGCAAAAATAGCGCAAAGAGTTATGTTGTGTGCCTTACCCAGCTTCCCCAAAAAGTGACATCCTCTGTAGCCACAGTACGATATCAAAACCAGAAGGTTAAGAGTACTATCAGTTAGTCTACAGGCCTTATGTAGTTTTTACCATGCATCTTTGATTTAAAATAACAATGTAATATTGTAGGGTGCCTGGGTGGCTTAGCTGGTTAAGCGACTGCCTTCCGCTCGGGTCGTGATCCTGTGGGTCCTGGGATCGAGTCCAGCATTGGGCTTCCCTTGCTCTGCGGGGAGCGGGCTTCTCCCTCTCCCTCTGCCTGCCACTCTCCCTGCTTGTGCTCTTTCTCTGTCAAATAAATAAAATCTTAAAAAAAAACCAAACAATAGGGGCGCCTGGGTGGCTCAGTTGTTAAGCGGCTGCCTTTGGCTCGGGTCATGATCCCAGGGTCCTGGGATCGAGCCCCGCATCGGGCTCCCTGCTCTGCGGGAAGCCTGCTCTCCCTCTCCCACTCCCCCTGCTTGTGTTCCTACTCTCACTATCTCTCTCTCTGTCAAATAAATAAATAAAATCTTAAAAAAAAATAAAATTAAAAAAAATAATAATAATAAAATTAAAAATAAAATTAAATAAAATAATAAAATTAAAAATAAAATAAAATAAAAAATAATAAAATTAAAAAAAACAATTGTAGACAAAAACAAATATTATAGACAATAAAAATTACAGAGAAGCACAAAGAAAGGAAATCCTCCATAATAGCACTATTCAGGCTGTAACTACTTTTAGCATATTGTTATAGATTTTTCTTTGTACCTCTGACTGAATATCTGTTTTCATTTGTTTGCTTTAGATAGTGGGACTATGTAAAACCTATTTTATAACCTTTAAAAATCTGTACTTTTTAGTGGATTTAGAAACTGAATCATAAAAAGAATGGTATAAAGTAAAAAATCCTGACAGCATATGTGATGTTTATCTTGATATCCTCAAAAGGGATGGGATCACTGAAGAAGGTGGGTCAGTGTAGCTGGGGGTCAGCCCTTGAGCCAGGAAGGAGAAGGAAGTATGATGCTCAGAGGTAGCCACTCTAAAGAAGAGGGTAGGGCTGTCTGGTGGGCTGTTGGCTAGGAGACCATTGAGAGGTGACACTTATTGGATAGATAGCCCCACTGAAACTACATAGCCCGAATTTAAGAAATCTGAGCAAGTCGTTGGAAACTGGATAGGTTAATGGAAAAAGAGAGTAATAGATAGTTCATCAGAAGGCTGATTCTTTATGTCATTTTCTGTCTCCAGGAGAGAAGCCTTTCCTTTGTGAAGCCCAAGGATGTGGCCGTTCCTTTGCTGAGTATTCTAGCCTGCGAAAACACTTGGTGGTTCACTCAGGTACTAGAACCCGTGCCTTTCATAGATTTCAGGGAAGGTAGAGAACCAAAAGGGTAAAAGGGTGGTGGTGGTGGGGAAATGGTATAAAGAAATCTAGAAAGAAACAAACTTCAATATAAAGTTTACTTCTCATGACAGAATCAGAAATGAAGGCTCTTGATAATTGGATTAAAAGGGTTGTATAATCAAGGGGGGAAAACCTAATTGCTTTATTCTCAGCTGAGCCATTGATGAATTGCTTTCTAATCCAGAGCTTTTCTGAGGAGATCAGAAAATTTATTTGGCACTGTGTTGGGTGCTTAATAAGTTACATCAGATATGGGCCATGGAGGTTATTCAAAGCAGAGATTGCCAAGGCAGAAGTGAACTCAAGAGTGGAGAGGGATTCTAGAATGGAATCAAGTAATTGTTCAAATGGTTAGCCGTGGGAAGTATAGGGAAGCCAGAACAGGAGGAGTGGAGAGAAGGAACTCGAAGTTATTTGTGATGAGGACAGCAAAGCAGTTCAGTGGGAGCGAGGGAGTTGGAGAGGTGTAAGCAATCAGGGATATGAATTTCAGAGTTGAGCTCTTACTTGATGACAAGTTCTAAGCAGAAGGTGACAAACTGTTAACCTGTGGGTTAGATGTGGACTTCCAGGTATGTTTTGCTTGGCTTGTAGAGTGTTTTTATTTTATCTTACTTAATTTTATTGTATAAAATTATGTCAAACATACATAAGAGGAGAGAAAACAAAGACATTTTCTTACATAACAACAATACTATTATCATACCTTTCAGAATTAACAATTCTTTTTTTTTTTTTTAAAGATTTTATTTATTTATTTGAGAGAGAGAATGAGATAGAGAAAGCATGAGAGGGGGGAGGGTCAGAGGGAGAAGCAGACTCCCCGCTGAGCAGGGAGCCCGATGCGGGACTCGATCCCGGGACTCCAGGATCATGACCTGAGCCGAAGGCAGTTGCTTAACCAACTGAGCCACCCAGGCGCCCCAGAATGAACAATTCTTTAGTTTTATCTCATACCCAGTGCATGTTTAGTTTTTTTGCAGTTGTCTCAAAAATGTCTTTTACAATGGGTTTGTTTAAATCAGGATCCAATAAGGTTTAATTATTATACTTAGTTTAATTATTATACTTAGTAAGCCTTCTTTAATCTAAATCTGCCTATAGCGACTTTTTTTTTTCATGCCATAGACTTATTGCACTACAGTTAGTTGGGTTTTATGGAATGTCCCACATTCTGGATTTGTTGGTTTGCCTTCTTTTATGTTATTTAACTTGTTCCCTTAGATTTCCTATAAATGGAGGTAAGCCCTAAAAGCTTCAAAGGTTCAAAGATTTGGCAAGGATGTGTTATAAATGGTTGTATGTGTTTCATTTTGTATCGTCATATCAGGAGGCACGCAGTGCTTGGTTGTCAGAATTTATCAGTGGGTTCAGGTGGTAACACCCTGATCTTCACATTGTTAAGTTCCCTAGCACCTTTTGCCGTATGGTTTCATGAGTGATGCCTGAATTGGTTATTTCATTAGGATTGTAAAATGGTGGTTTTCTAATTCTATCATTCTGTTCACATCAGTTGGAATTCTTCTGTGTATAATAAGTGTCTTCTCTATCCAGTAGGGCTATTAATTTGCACAGGAAAGGCAGGAAAAACGTGTGTTCCTTTTCATTTCTTTTAATTATGAATTTTCAAAATAAGAAATTGGTGCTCTTGTTTCTTCTAGTAAATTCATGGGTTTCTATGTAGTCACTGTGTATCAATCCATTGTAGTTCTCTTTGAACAGCTTTTTTGATGTATAATGCATATACCTTAAAGTTCATCCATTGTAAGCATACAAATCAGTGATAGAAAATATACAGAATTGTACAGTCATCACCACAATCCTTCAACAATAGTTGAAGCGTGGGACACAGAAATTGCATGGAATCCAGTTTTAGAACAATTCTGTCATACCAGAAAGTTCTTTTGTGCCCCCTGGTTGTCAGTTCCTGCTCCCACGCCCAGATCCAGGCAACTACTGGTCAGCTTTCTGTCTCTATAGATTTTCCTTTTCTGGAAATTTTCTGGCCATTTCACTTACTTTGGCTACCTACAAATCTCCTATAGGCATGTGTTTCTGACCCCAGCTCCAAGTGTCATTGTCTGAGTAGGTGGAAGAGTGACTGAGAGCTTTGGACACAGAGGATAGTTCAGATCACAATGTAGAAGAACCACCGGTGTAAACGCTGACGGCTGTGAGAGTGGTGGCAGGAAGTGGGATAATGGGGATTCTGAACCCAGGGTTGGAATCCTTGAGGATGGTACATGTTCTGGAGCTCCATGGAATAATGTATCTGGAAAAGGAAGGGAATATTCTGTGTGGCTGCCATGATCTGATATCAAAGAGGTTGTGAAGGCAGCCGTACAGTGGGTACTGTAAAGGTAGGAGCTGGGAGCAATGAGCATACTAAGCCCTGCTGTGAACTCTTCCTGCCTTCCCTGGTGTATGAAGGTTTTGAGGCTGGGACCTCCAAGGCTGGGCGGAGAACAGGAGAAGGAAAAGCCTCTTCTGTTTAGTTTAACATTCTCTGAACTTCTCTATCCAGGTCTTGAGTCCATTCTCTTGGTGTCAGAAACGTACCCTATTTTTTTTTGGCTACCTTGTCTTAACCTGCTCTCTGTTTCAGGAGAGAAGCCTCATCAGTGTCAAGTCTGTGGGAAGACCTTCTCTCAGAGTGGGAGTAGGAATGTGCACATGAGAAAGCATCATTTGCAGCTGGGAGCAGCTGGGAGTCAAGAGCAGGAGCAAACTGGTGAGGAGAGAAGGTGGAGTGGAGGGCTGTATCTTCTGGGTCCAAAAAGCCAAATAATTGGCCTATCTGGTTATCTGGAAATTTTCAGATTCTGTGTTAGGGAGAGAGACCTAGTCTCATTTGATGGACTAGTGGTTTCCAAATATAGCTCTACAGTAAAATCTGTAAGCTTTTGAAATGTATATATTTGTATTGCCTGTCCACCCCTCCCCCCCAAATAAAACAAAACAGTTCAAACTGATAACTGAAATTATTTGGGAGTAAGATCCCAGAATCTATAGTTTTGGTTTCTGTAGTTAAGTGTAATGGTAACTAGTGCTGATCCATGAACCAGCATTTGAGTATTACTGTAATAAAGTCTTCTGTAAGACGAGGGTTTAAACATTTTTTACATATCATTCATGATTCCCTTTTTACCCTAACTTAAATTTGATAACTCGTTTTTATTATTTTTTCCCATGTCTTTAATCAATTATTTCATTCCATATACTCCTTTCCAAGGATGTATCCTTCCCATTTCATATATTAATTCTCCACATGCTGATCGCAGGCAAGGATATTTATCTATGAGGCTCCACCCTTCCCTTCTAGGTTTATTCTTGCTCCCCAAAAGTAGATAGCATCCAAGATACAGGTTAACTTCCAGTTCTGAAAGGAAAGGCCAGCTTCCTGTGAAGGAAAATGGGGCCCAGGCACAGCCTGGCCTGCAGCGTGTCTCTCACATCCTGTTCTCTGTGCAGCTGAGCCACTAATGGGCAGTAGTTTACTTGAAGAGGCTTCAGTAACCAGTAAAAACCTGGTGCCTATGAATTCCCAGCCCAGCCTTGGTGGAGAGTCCTTGAACCTACCAAATACCAATTCTATCCTAGGAGTTGATGATGGTAAGACTTTCAACTCTCCTTTATTTGGGGGAAAATGGGCTGCAACTAGGGACTAAGGAATGGGGTTGTCTCCAAAATGAAGGTTTTAATTAATTTCATTTCTCGTGAGTGGTTGTGGTATGATTGCGTAGCATTTGTGTTCTTTGTCTCTGGGATGGATAAGTGAATCTGTTAAAAAAATATATTTTTTTTGTTGAACAGATGATGTAACGAAAGAATAAAGAGAAAAAAATTTAAGAAGAAAATTATCCATAATCTTAGCATCCTAGCCCAACTATTTCTATCTTTCCTATTGCAGTTATGGAAGAACTTAACTTTTAAAACATTTAAACAGAACATAACCAGGTTTTACAGAGGAGATATAAAGCAATTTCTCCATACCTTCAAAAGCCATATCTTCTGGAGAAAAGAAAGGGCTCTCTAGGAAACAGTTGCTCCTCTCTGGTATAGAAATTTCACCCAAGTTACACAGGCCAGGCCCTCTTCTCTGAAAAACTTAACAGGTGAGGTCAGCATGCATTTATTCAGTGCCTACTGTGTGCCTGGCACCATGTGAAAGATAAAAGTAGAAACCAGGGACCTTAAAATCTAGTTGAGAAGTCAAAACTTACATATGGGAAACATTGAGTGAATAGAAGATCGTATGTAAGTAAATGCTAAATTACACAGTACAGTCTGGAAGAGCAGTATCTATTGAAAGCCCCATAGAAGAAACTTTGATTTATTAGAGGCCTAAGTAGTTTATGTATAAACTATTTCAGAAGATTTTTACAGTGATCCCACTAATGAAGTCCGAGATCCTGTGTTTTAGTTACTTGTATCCCACTCAGTCAGTTTTGTGTATAAGTGACCATGTTTGTGTAAACTTCTGTGCGGAGTCTACACGGCCCAGCATGCTTCCACAAGCCTCCTCGGTTTTGTAATATGATACTAGTGCATAGTTGAAGCGTGGGACACAGAAATTGCATGGAACTACTTTGCCATTCTTAAGGGAGAAAGTGTCAAGGGAGGAAGGGACACTGAATAGGAATTTTGAAGCCAGATTTAAGTTCTTAACTTCTGCGTAGTATGCTGTATATCGTTGGTGGCTGCTTTAAGGGTAGGCTCTGGTCCCGGGATCCGCCTGCCTCAGCAGCTTTTGCCCTGTTTCATGCATGGCTAATCCAGCTAACAGTGCTAAAGCCATACTACTCAAAAGTGGTATATTGAAAAATGGTCAACTCTTATATATCATTTCTTCCCATCCCCCTTTTGTAATACTCTCCAAATTCACTGGTAATGATGATTATTATCAGACAGGAATTAATTTGGAAGAAATACAGGAATATGGGTTTCTCAGGATGGGAGAGGCTTGATAATGCAGGTGGGTATATCTGTAGATTCATTTTTCGTTGAAACATTCTCTGCTGTTTCAGAGGTGCTTGCTGAAGGATCCCCACGTCCCCTGTCTTCAGTGCCTGATGTGACACATCACTTGGTGACCATGCAGTCAGGGAGGCAGTCATATGAGGTTTCTGTCTTAACTGCCGTAAATCCACAGGAGGTAAATCTGTCTCTTGCCTTTACTTTGTTTCTGTGGAGACTAATGTGGACAGTGGCTGGGAATCTAGTTTTGATGATCTGAAAATTACTCCAATTTCCCTTTCCTGGAAACTTTGTCTAGAATATCTTCCTTTAAGCCAAGCATGAGTCCAGCTTAACTTAAACTTGATTGTTAGGGTCTCCTGGATTGGGAGATTGGTCACTCACGACTGGGTCTCTCAGCTTTAATTTCCTTTATATACATACCTTACTGAATGATACCTGCTCCTACTGTTCTCTGCCTAGGACATGAGGATGCTGCTTTTATTTTATAAAGAAAATATCTTGGACAGAGTGGTCCTTGAGCAAAAAAGATAGTGACAAAATCATGGAAAATAATCATTGTTCATTTTATTAGGGTCATATGTCTGGGAGATACCAGGCTGAACCAACTGGGCCTTTAGGGACGTGTTCACTCGCTTGTGGAATGAGAACCATCATCTAAATCGGGGAGAGGTTTTAGGTTGCTTCTAAGCATTCCCAACTCTATGATCTTAGCTCTAACCCAGAAAACAGAATGAAAACCAGTCAGGCTTCTAGAATCTTAGGGTATAGTAGATGACTTCATCATGAGCTCATTTCATATGCATAAACTTTTGCCAAAACCCATGTATCTTGGATGCCTTCATATTATAGTAACTCTTACAGTGCTCTCCCGTCTTTTCCCCTGACCTTTTCATTATAATCTGATACCACAAAATCAGCTGTTCCAGTATTCAGATGATTGCATCCTATATTAAATATTCCGGATTATTCTGTAAGATTCCTGGGGATGCCCAAGATCACAGGGCTCTGGACATGCATGTTAATGATTCTGCCAGAACCTTTCCTTGTATTCATCATTGTGACCCATTGTCTGAGTCTTGCTTATATTATATTCAAAGTTTTTTTGCTGTTGATTCTGTTGGTTCTTTGCTAAGCCACCTTCTCCTGGCTGCTGTTTGGGAACATATCTCACCTATGAAGACTTCCTTTATTATTTCCCCTCTTCATTTATGTATTTTAAAATTTTTATTATGAGAGTTTTCAGCGTATAGTGAGAGAAAGTATAATGAACTCATGTACCTATCCCCCCAACTTCAACAGTTAACTTTCTACTATTCTCTCTTCCCGCCTACTTCTTACTGTTGCTGTTCTGTTTGTGCTGGAGTATTTAAAAGCACATCACAGACATACCATTTTATTTGTAGATATTTCAGCACATACCTCTAACAGATAAGTATTTTTTCATAACTATAATGTCTTCATCATACCCAATAGAATTAACAATCATTTATTGATATCCTCGAATACTTAGTCTGTGTTCCTTTTTTATTTTTTCTCAAAATGTCTTTTAATGGTTGGTTGGTTTAAATTAGGATTCAAACAAGGCCCATTTACTGCATTTGGTTAATAATTCTCTTTATCTCTAATAGTCTTCCCCACCCTCCACTCCCTACCCCGTTTTTTCAGAATGACTTAACTATTTAATAAGAATTTCCCACCTTCTAGTTTTGGCTGATTGACTCCTTTTGTTTAATATATTTCTCTATCTACAGATTTCCTAAAAACTGGTAGTTAGGAGCTTAGATTCATGTTCTTTCTGCTTTTATGAACTGTGATTCTTCTATAAAAGAAATATTTCTCTCATCAACTATTGGATTGCTCTAAAATAGTTCAGAAAAATCATCTCCTTTTTTATCTAGTGGAAATTATTATCCTGACAAACCAATCCACAACACTCAGGCTTTTCCTTTTTTATATTTGAAACCTTGGAGCTTTTCTCTCCTGTACTGCTAAATACCTTTTTTTTATTGAAGCGTTTCAGGTTTTCTCAAACAAATGCCAGATGTATAAAAACGTAGTCAACAGATACTTCATACCTAATGAAGTGCAAGGCCCTCTGTTGGGTACTAAACAACAGTAAACAAAGTCTCTGCCTCAAAGAGCTTAGTCAGACTTCGGACCTCTGCCTTTTATAACTGTGCAAAATGGTGCCCCTGGAATTGTGCTGTACAGAGAGAATGGGAAGGGTGGCAGATCAATAAATGGGGCAATTTTTTACATAGTGTAGTAAGTACTAGGTAGGGGGAAGTTAGGGAGTAAGTTTTAGAGTTTAAGTTGAGACCTGAGGGATGAATAGCAGTGATCTTGATGGATAAGTGGGAGGGATTGGAAGAAAATAACAGGCAGCAATGAGTACAAGGGCAGAGGTGAGGGAGCAGGGCACAACTATGGAACCACAGAGGGTTGAGTAAGATGGAATGTGGAATGGAAAGTGAGAGCAGGAAGGATAAGCTGGTTTCTCTCTTGAAGGGCCTTCACTTCAAGGACATGATTTTATCCTGGGGACAGTGGAGAGCCACTGCATGGTATTAAGCCAGGTGTGACATGGTCAGATTTGTGTGTGCAAAAAGTCCAGTAATAGCACATTTGTTCCCCTCGGACCTAGGCACATGGGTCTTGGATTCAGGGTGTCCTTGTCTGGGTGATGCTTACTCACAGCCTCAGACAGACACAATACCACAGACCACCTATAAGAAACAAAAGAAAACTCGGCCTTCACCCCAGGAGGACACTAAGGGCGTACAGGCCCTAAGCACCCAATTTCATGATGGAAGCCCTAGACAATTCATAGAAAAATATTAACAACACAAAGGGGAAAGTGCTCCCCTTAGTGTAGCTGAAAATCCTAGACGATTACTTTTCCCCTCATGGGTCGTCGCATATTTACATACAAACACACCCTCTGTCTGAACCTCACTTCTGTGTTTCTTTCACTGTTACCTCTATTATTTTCCTCTTATCACAGGCATTCCCACTGCTCATCCCTCCTTTTCCTTATCATGGCAGGCTTACCACATCCTCTGATACTGTCATTTTTTTAAACCTACAAGCCCCTCAAGGCTCCAGGTTTAGTCCTCTTCCTCATCTAAGCTCCTGGTACTAACTGACTTTCCTCCAGTGACTGAGAAATGTTGATTCCTTAGGGATTCGCAGACAGAAGAAAGCTATTTGCAATCCTTTTTTTTTTTTTAATAATTTTTTAAACAAGATTTTATTTATTTTAGAGGGAGTCAAAGAGAGAGCAGGTGGAGGGGCAAAGTGAGAGAGGGTCTTAAGCAGACTCTTAGCTGAGCTCGGAGACCAATGAGGGGCTTGATCTCACGACCCTGAGATCATGACCTCAGCCAAAACCAAGAGTAGGACACTTAAGCGACTGTGCCACCCAGATGTCCCGGCTATTTGCAATTCGTAAACCAACACGTCCATTTCAAATTCTGGTTTTGGAGATAATCACACATTGTAGATCAGACCTGTAACCTCTAAGAATTTACTGATGCACTTGCACTTGGACTTCTGTAAATATGCTCTAAAAATAAGCTTATCAAGAATATCGGAGGGGCGCCTGGGGGGCTCCGTCGTTAAGCATCTGCCTTCGGCTCAGGTCATGATCCTCAGGGTCCTGGGATCAAGCCCCACATCGGGCTCCCTGCTCAGTGGGAGGAATCCAGCTCAGCTCCCTCTCCCTCTGCTGCTCCCCCTGCTTGTGTTCTCTCTGTGTCTGTCTCTCTTTGTCAAGTAAATAAAATCTCTAAAAAAAAAAAGTAACATCAGAGAATAACCAAAGCAAGTATCAGAAATTATCATGGGAGGGGCACCTCGCTGGCTTAGGTTGGTAGAGTATGGGACTCTTGATCTCAGGGTGGTGAGTTTGAGCCCCATGTTGGGTTGTGGAGATTACTTAAAAAATAAACAACGATGTGGATGGAACTGGAGAGTGTTAGGCTGAGCGAAATAAGTCAATCAGAGAAAGACATGTATCATATGACCTCACTGATATGAGGAATTCTTAATCTCAGGAAACAAACTGAGGGTTGCTGGAGTGGTGGAGGGTGGGAGGGATGGGGTGGCTGGGTGATAGACATCGGGGAGGGTATGTGCTATGGTGAGTGCTGTGAATTGTGTAAGACTGTTGAATCACAGATGTGTACCTCTGAAACAAATAATATATGTTAAAAAAAAAAAGAAGAAGGGGGCACCTGGGTGGCTCAGTCGTTAAGCGCCTGCCTTCGGCTCAGGTCATGATCCCAGGGTCCTGGGATCGAGCCCCGCATCAGGCTCCCTGCTCTGTGGGAAGCCTGCTTCTCCCTCTCCCACTCCCTCTGCTTGTGTTCCCTCTTTTGCTGTGTCTCTCTCTGTCAAATAAATAAATAAAAAAATCTAAAAGAAAAAAAAGGAGATAGCAGGAGGGGAAGAATGAAGGGGGGGAAATCAGAGGGAGAGATGAACCATGAGAGACGATGGATTCTGAAAAACAAACTGAGAGTTCTAGAGGGGTGGGGGGTGGGAGGATGGGTTAGCCTGGTGATGGGTATTAGGGAGGGCACGTTCTGCATGGAGCACTGGGTGTTATACGCAAACAGTGAATCATGGAACACTACATCAAAAAAAATTTAAAAAATTAAATAAATGAATGACTCATACTTTAAAAAGACTATCCTCTTAAAAAAAAAAAGGAAATCTATCAAAACTACATCTTTTTTTTTTTTAAAGATTTTATTTATTTATTTATTTGCCAGAGAGAGAGAGAGAGAGAGGGAGTGTACAAGCAGGGGGAGTGGCAGGCAGAGGGAGAAGCAGGCTCCCTGCTAAGCAAGGAGCCTGATGTGGGACTCGATCCCAGGACCCTGAGATCATGACCTGAGCCGAAGGCAGACACTTAAAACAACTGAGCCACCCAGGCGCCCTATCAAAACTACATCTTATTCCGATGGTTCAGACTGGACAATTTTTATTTTCCCCTCAGTGTTACCCAGTCTCCTGCAAATCAGAGGACTCACTGTGCTGGCCCACCTGGAACCCCAGGGCTTTTGGACCTCTGCTGACTAAAAGGCATCCCAAGTGAGGTTCTGTAGTCACATTGAGCTCACATTCTTGAACTCAGGAGGCAGTGTAAATGATTGCCAGCTAGCCTTGAATATATCAGAATTTGTCCCAAAAAGGAGGAAAACAAATTACAAATTATTTTAAGATTTCTCATAAAGTGCCATTGCTAAATTTGAGTGCAAACATCTGGATCTTGAGCTAGATTAAAAAGACACCATTCTTACATCCCTACCACATAGCATCAAATGAAATTTGTGGTTTCTTTAAAATTTTAAATTTTGTTTAAATTTCTTCATATTCCATCTTATTCTACTGTATAAAGTACTTTCATCCAAATTGAGATCACCAAGTAAATCTATCTTCAGCCCAAGAATTTATCTGGTTATATTTTACTAAGCCAAATTTTTATTCTGAATTTCACTGTTATTCCCATCTCATTCTCATAATAAAACGGAACCCAAGTTCATCAATTATTGTACAGAACTGCCTTTCAACAGAAAGCCTTGAGTGTAGAGTAGAAAGTCTGTTTTCGCTGCCACCCTCTTGAAGTCTCAGGCTTGTCTCCATCCTAGGAGAGGTATCCTTCTAAGCCCTGGGAATTGCTGGGTTCCTTTTTCTCTGTTTTTTATATATATTTTTTATTTATTTGACAGAGAGAGACACAGCGAGAGAGGGAAGACAAGCAGGGGGAGTGGGGGAGGGAGAAGCAGGCTTCCCGCTGAGCAGGGAGCCCGATGCGGGGCTCAATCCCAGCACCCTGGGATCATGACCTGAGCTGAAGGCAGACGCTTAACGGCTGAGCCACCCAGGCACCCCGAATTGCTGGTTTCCTTATGGGTGGTTTCTAGCTCTCATATAGAACTTATTGGGAATAGCTTCCCATTCCTCTTACTTCTCCTTGAGCGTTCTGCCTGTACTCTGGACTAACACTGACTGACGTAAGATGTTTGGTTCTACCATTTCTGATGTATCTGTAAGTTATGGATGCCTCCATCACTGACTAGTGAGTACGTGACTACACAAACAATAGTTTGGCTTATGGACTCAAGATCTTTTATTGCCATAGTGAACATGCCAGCATCGTGAATTGGCCAAAATGCTATCCCAAGGCCAGGATATGAAAGAGATCTATCAGTCTACATGTTCTCTTGCTTTGGAGCTAGGTATCCTTGACTCACCTCAGCTGTGCATTCCCCACTCCCACTCATAAACCTTTTCCTTAGTACGAATTATTTTTCCTGTTATTCATTGGTAGCCTTTATTCCAGATTTGGTTTTCATCTTTTACAGTTACTAAACCAAGGAGAATTAACTGAAAGCCGGACATGAGCATGGGCACTGACTCCTGGAAGAGCAGCTCTGTCTGATCCCAGAGTGCACGTAGTGGGAACAGGATGCTTCTGGCTCATGGTCTGCCAGAAGCAAAATGAATCTGTGAAGGACAGGACCCCGCGTCTGCCTCTGTTCATCTTTCCTGACATAGAAGATGAATGTGGGAGAGCTTCTCTTCAAACCACATCTGATCCAGACAAGGAAGAAAGCAGTGAATGTGAGCTGGGTAACTGTACCTACCTCTCTTCCCACTACAAAATTTTGGGAAGGACTTCTCCCAAAAGGGAATTGGATTATGTGTTGGCTGAAATTTCTTCAGTATGACTGTTGAGATGGGATTTTCCTCTGAAGAATTTTCATCCCCGACTCAGCTGTCTTTTCACATGGATGAACTAAGTCCTGCCACCAACCATAAAACTTCACCAAGAAGTTGAGCTTTCAAGATGCCTTGTTGCTTTGGAGAAGGGAGTGATGCCAGTTCTGCTGTAGCATTCTCCCTTTAGCAACCTGAGTAAGAGACTCTGCCGCTGGGCTGCAAAAAAATAAATTACTTGAATCCCTACTTGGCCCGGGCTGAGGTACTATCTTGTCATATCCACTTCTACTTGGTCAGTTTGCTTTCTTTGTTTATGGAATATACAGTAGCATGTTAAAAGGTTTTTTGTTTTTTTAAAGTTAAATATCACATGATTCAGAGTTTCAGTTGTTTTCCCTTTAAATAAACAAGACAGCCCAGTCAGTTCTTTGGTTCCTTGTTTTGGACAAAACCTGTTTACTTAGAGAGGAGATCAAGAAAATAGTTCAGGCTTTCCCTTTAAGAGAGGGCACTTATTTACCCTTTGGATTCCATGCAGGTAAAACTGAGCCCAGGAGTCTTGGGGAACAGAACATCTTCATCTCTAACTAGCAAACCTAGATAGTAGTTATCATAGTACCGCTCTGTCGTCACCAGAAGGGACCATGTCTGAGTCTGGAAAATGGCAATAATAACATACTTTTGAATTTTTCCAGAGAGTTAAAAAAAACAAAAACATGAGAAATGTACTTCTGTTAAGAGTAGGCACTCTTGCTATCATCCTGTCTTTACAGCCAGTTAGAGAACATCTGATTAATCATTGGTAAGAAGAAGAGTGTTCCAGAGATCACTTACTAGTAGAAAATCATGGCTGTCAGAGAATTTTCACTTTATTTAAAATGAACCTCATGCTGACACATACATACCATGCACACAGTGGCATATTCTAAACAGATAACAGGAAAGAATTAACTGCTGTAATAAATAAATATAGTTCTTAATTTGTTAATGACATGCATAATCATCCTTTGCTATGTAGATTGAGTTCATGTCAATTTCTTGTATTCTTAATTTGCCAGTTTTTACTTCCTGTAGCCTTACTTTTATACTGTAGCATGGTTCTTAATTGGCAACATTTATTGCCTGCCCCCTGCCCCACATGTGGCAATATCTAGAAGTATTTTTGTTCATCACAACTGGGGAGAGGGAGTTACTGGCATCTAGTGAGTAGAAGCCAGGGATGCTGCTACACATCCTACAGTGTACAGGACAGCCCCCTCTCCCAACACCCAACACAGACTCATCTGGCTCAAAATGTCGATAGTACTGAGGTTGGGAGACCCTGTACTAGAAGCTGCAAGCTTGTCATCCTGCAGGTGTTTTGTTACTCCCACACGGTATTTTTTTTTTTTTTTAATTTTTTTTGATGTAGTGTTCCATGATTCACTGTTTGCGTATAACACCCAGTGCTCCATGCAGAATGTGCCCTCTTTACCCATCACCAGGCTGACCCATCCCCCACCCCCTCCCCTCTAGAACCCTCAGTTTGTTTCTCAGAGTCCACAGTCTCTCATGGTTCGTCTCCCCCTCCGATTTCCCCCCTTCATTTTTCCCTTCCTACCCCACACAATATTTCTAAATAATTTTTAAATTAGTTGCCAACATGCAAATTTCTGGCTTCTGTTGAAAGCTCACTTGATGTGGCAGTTCTGGGCCTGTGTTCTAGCAGAGACACTAGTCTCTACTGTCTCCTACTATCTTATACCCAGCCCATGTGATCTCTTTGTTTCCTAACTAGCCTCTGTTAGGCATTTGGGCTTGTGCCCTTTTTTTTAAAGTAGGAGGCACAAAGCAAGAATGCTTACTTAACTCAGCTCTGATCCGTCTGCCCTGAGGTTGTTCACTTTGATTTACTTAAACCATTCATTCCCTGTTTGTCATCTGCTTTTTTTCCCCCCTGCTACTACTCTTTTCCCCATTCTCCAAGAGTAGCCATGACTCAGAAGCCAAGTTTTGCTTGCCTTGACTCAACTCCAAGTTAGCTGGTTAATACTGAAAAGCAGTAATTTTAAGTGTTACTGATTAAGCAAGTGATTTGAAATTATCTAGCAATTCATAAGACAGCTCTTCCAGTTCTTTCTTGGGGCTTGTAGGCTGCTGTAGAGATTCTTCTAAATCCTGCTGTGCATTTCTGGTGCTGAGTTTTGTAGTTTCATGGGTGCTACAGAATAAATTAAAGCATTATGAAATAAAATGTTTTTAATTAAAGCATTATGTAAGGCTTAAGGATGGTTTCAACATTTTCATTATTTTATATGGGGTGTAAAAGGAAATTTCTAGGGGGAAAACTGGGATAGGAATTAGGGGAGGGGCCGTTAGGATTTAAGAAACAAAAGTTGAGAGTAATGGCGATACTATGCTTTTCTCCCCTTCACTTACCAATGGCGGGTGCTGCTAATGAGTTACGTTTTTAATGAGTGCTAGATTTAATTATTTTTATTTTTATTATTCTAAAAGATTTTATTTATTTGACAGAGACACAGCGAGAGAGGGAACACAAGCAGGGGGAGTGGGAGAGGGAGAAGCAGGCCTCCTGCGGGGCATGGAGCCCGATGGGGGGACTCGATCCCAGGGCCTTGGGATCGTGACCCGAGCCGAAGGCAGACGCCTAACGACTGAGCCACCCAGGCGACCCATGAGTGCTAGATTTTAACAAGCCGTGGTGACCATGCTGAGGGGAAAAGAAAGGCTTTGATTGTTCAGGACAGTATAGCTTTTATTGTGGCTCTATATAGGTTTTTACCTTCAGTTATCCAAACAAAATAAAAAGTGCTAGAAAAATAGTTTTATCATTTTATAGTAAGTAAAAATATACATGGGGGCGCCTTTACACTCACAGACACACATACGTTTGTTCTTCAAAAGTGAAGTAATACTTTTGATTGATGGCCCTGTAACTAGAATTGGAAAAATGATCTGTTTCAAATTGAAGGAATCTACACCTCATATACAATAGTTATATTTAATTTATAACTGCATTATTCTCCCATTTTAAATGTATTATGTGGAGATCTCTGGGTTAGTATTCTGTACATACAGGATTGTGATCTCAAAATATACGAGTGGTGGCATTACAAGGGATGGCAGTTTGAGAGCTGCAGGATAACAAGGAGCATCTGAGATTACCTGGGACAGTCACGGACTTCTGACTGCTCCCGCCATCGTACAACCCGGCTGCCCTGACCCTTGTTCCTCACAAAGTCTTCATCCAGCCCAGCCTGCTGCAGGGTGTCTCGATACCGTTGTTCTGCGGCTCTCCTGGCAAGGTCCTGTGGAATGGAAATTAATCTGCTGGAGCTGTCTTGTGAATTACCAGGTAATTCTAAATCACTTGCTTCATCTGTATGCCTAAAATTGCCCCCTACCCCAACTCCCCATTAATGCTGGGCACTGGTGTGCATGAAAATTTCTTCGAGCCTTTTCAAGCCTTAAAGTGCATAGAACTACCTGAAGATCTTGTTATTAATGTAAATTCTCATTTGGTAGGTCTCAGATAAGGCTCACAATTCTGTACATCTAACACTCCCAGGAGATGCCAATTGTTGATTTGGGAGCCACACCTTTGAGAAGCAAGGATTTAGATTTTTGAAAGACCAAGTGAGACTCAGATGAAAAAATGGACTAAAAAACATTTTAAGATTTAAAAACAACCAGGGGCGCCTGAGTGGCGCAGTTGGTTACGCGTTCAACTCTTGGTTTTGGCTCAGGTCATGATCTCAGGGTCCTGGGACTGAGCCCCGGGAGTCCGGCTGCACACTCAGTGCAGAGTCAACTGAGATTCTCTCTCCCTCTGCCCCTCCTGCTTGTGTTCTCTCTCTAGAGTAAATAAATATCTTTTAAAAAAAATTGTTTGTTTGTTTGTTTGTCAGAGAGAGAGAGCACGCACAAGCAGGGGGAGCGGCAGGCAGAGGGAGAAGTAGGCTCCTGGCGGAGCAGGGAGCCTGATGTGGGGCTCGATCCCGGGACCCTGGGATCATGACCTGAGCCGAAGGCAGACACTTAACCGACTGAACCACCTCGGTGTCCCTAGAGTAAATAATCTTCAAAAAAAAAAAAAAGATTTAAAAACCAGGGGCGCCTGGGTGGCTCAGTCATTAAGCGTCTGCCTTCGGCTCAGGTCATGATCCCAGGGTCCTGGGATCGAGCCCCACATCGGGCTCCCTGCTCCGCGGGAAGCCTGCTTCTCCCTCTCCCACTCCCCCTGCTTGTGTTCCCTCTCTTGCTGTATCTCTCTGTGTCAAATAAATAAATTTTAAAAAATAAATAAAAAATAAAAACAAACCATTATCATGAACACTATCAAAAAAACCCCACTAACATATAACAAATAGGAAATAAACTACACTAGTAACACTTTTTTTTTTTTTAAGATTTTTATTTGTCAGAGAGCATAAGCAGGGAGAGCGGCAGGCAGAGGGAGAAGCAGACTCCCCACTGAGCAAGGAGCCCGATGCCGGACTCAATCCCAGGACCCCAGAATCATGACCTGAGCCAAAGGCAGACACTTAACTGATTAAGCCACCGAGGTGTCCCACTAGTAACACTCTTAACAGGATAGATGGTCTGCACGTGGACCAGAAAAAGGTTATTTCTTGTTTGTTTTGATTTAAGCAAAATCATATAGAGCACTTTGTATTTTTCCTCGAGTGGTGAAACATCTGTTGAGATCAGAGAGTGAGCTTTGCTTGAAAAAATTAAAGAAGAAAGGTCATTATGAGAGATTTTGAACAATGCAAGTTGCTAAGTAAACCCAAGACTGTCCAGCATGTGTGACTCTGTGTGTGGCATGTATGGGGGTGGGGAGGAGTATACCTGGGAAATGCCTACATAACACACTGGCTGTAAGATGGAGATAATGTCCAGCAGTTGGAATCAGGTCACTAGGAAACCCCAACTTTTTTCTGAAACTGGAGAGAAGAAGGATCTACAGAGTCTGATACAACCCAAAACCTCCAGGGATGGTGGCCTTTCTAAGGCTGTTCAGATAGCTCCAGAGCTTCCTTAGGGAGAGATCTCAACTGGGTCCAACTTTCCTAGAGGTCTAGAGAACACCTTAAAATGATTCTTCCATCCTGAAAGCCACTTAATCTGAAAAGGGCTTTATGGGGTGCTTGTGAGCATCTCAATGTCTGAAGACCCATAAATGTGCCTGCCACAGCTCTAGAGGCTGGGGATGCCCAGGGGACCAGCACTACAGGGGGAGAGATGATGTTAGTAAGTTAAAGATCGTCTCATTAACACAGCCAAACTGTCACTGAGTATGTGGGATCTAGCCCTCACCATGATTCAAACTGAAAGCTAGACTGTAGCAAACACTCCAGAAAGTGAAATACTCCCAATAGATGTCTCTGGAGTCCAGTCTTGGATGAAATCAGTCCAAGCAACATTCACCACTGCACTACTTATTGGGGGTGGGGGTGGGGGGTGGGATGGTAATTAATAAAACAGGCCCAATTTAGAATCTTTCTGAGCCTCCAGGAAATGTTATTAATACCCAGATATTAAACTGTTCCATCATTGGGATGCCTGGGTGGCTCAGTCGGTTAAGCATCTGCCTTTGGCTCAGGTCATGATCCCAGGGTCCTGGGATTGAGCCCTGAGTCAGGCTCCCTGCCCAATGGGGAGTCTGTTTCTCCCTTTCCCTCAAACCCTCCCCCGTGGTTGTGTTCTCCCTTTGTCTCTCTCTCTCTGACAAATAAAATCTTTAAAAATAAATTTTTCCGTCATTTCTAAGAGCCCTTTCATCCAAGACTGAAAGAAAGTGAATGATGGTTTAGTTTTACCTTGGTAACTTGTTCGAAGAGATACGGCCTTGTCTGTATTCTCTTCTTCATTTCTTCCAATTCTTTCTTATACTCTTTTGCTCTTTTACGGTCTTTGTTCCTGGAATTAACAAGATTTTTAGAATGAATTCTGTCTTTTTCCAATCTGAAATACCCTTCACTCCAATTAAGCAGAGTAATTCCCAAGGACATTGTAAATTCCTAACTCTGCCTAGCAAAATCCTGGACTGTGTGCAATTATAGGAGTCTACTCTAATAACTCCATTTTGCCGTTGTTCAAGGCCAATGATCTGTTGGATCCCAAGACAGGCACACCCTTTGACACATGGAGGACACTGACCGATTCTCTTTCAGCTTTGCTTTGAACACCTCCTCCAGGCTTTGGTGGGGATCCATGGCTTTCGCACGCAAGGTCACGGATTTCGACATTGCTTGACACTTCTTTTTGTGCATCTCCAACCACTGAGTACTCTCATCTGCTTTGTCCTTTTTTTCAAGTGAACTTCTAAAGAGAGGACGCAAAAACCATACAGATGACCAACTTGAGTATATTTAAAAGCAATCTTAGTAACCTCTCTGGAAAGTAAAATGGTGTTTTCTATGAAGGGAGTGATTTACCACACTGGCATTTCAGAAAGAACAGGATTCTGAGATTGGCAGAACAAGCCTTCCCAGCACTATGGACACAGTGATTTTCTGCCCCAGGAGAAGTTCATTAATTGAACTGAAAAACATATGAGTTAAAATGTCCCTACACTCAGGCTTCTGGCCTGTCTGGAAACAAAATGATTCTAAGAGCTGCCATTTGCTGAGCTACCTACTCTGAACCAAGAGCATAAAGGAATCAAGTGCTTTATATCCATTATCTTCATAACTGCCCTATGAGGTAAGAACTGTAAGCCCCTCTTTTTATAGGCAAGGAGACTGAGGTTCAGAGAAGGTAAGTCACTTATTCAAAGCCACCCAGCATGCCTGTGGAAAAGCCAAGATTTGAACCAGGATGTCTGACTCCCAACTTGACCTCTGTGCTGTAAAGGGTGGACTGGAAGTTACCGGGGGTCATGGTCCCTTGGGAATACAAATCTGCATTTTCATAGAGAACTGAAGAAAGGCCTCTTTCCATGCACAGTTTGGGGTTAACTTACAGCACCTAGTTTTCTAAGTATCATTTGACAAGGTACTATGGGGAGTTTCTACCAAAAGAAACAACAGTCAAGACTCTTGCATTTGGGGCGCCTGGGTGGCTCAGGTCATTAAGTGACTGCCCTCGTTCGGCTCAGGTCACGATCCTGGAGTCCCAGGATTGAGTCCTGCATCGGTCTCCCTGCTCAGTGGAGAGTCGGCTTCTCCCTCTGACCCTCCCCCTTCTCATGCTCGCTCACTCGCTCTCATTCTCTCTCAAATACATAAAATTTTAAAAATAAATAAAAAATAAAAAATATGTATTAAAAAAAGACTCTTGCATTTGGATTATTTACATTCAAATGAACAGATTAGGAAGGAAGGCATGAAAGCTGAGTCTGCTATTATATCAAACTCCCTGTTGCTGGGAAGCAGATATGGACATCCCCTAGAGGCACCAGCGTCTGGTTCCTAAGGCCTACCTTACTGGGGCCTCAAGATACTGATGCATTTAGCCTTCATTTAGTCGCTCTAAGACATCTGAGGAAGAAGGGAGTATCCCTTGGATTCTAAATACATTTCTAAGATCCCCATTGTGGGTCCTCAAGAGCCAAGTAGGTCCTGTGTTCTCCTCTGTGAGCCCCACAGGAAAACACTAAGATGCTAGTCCTCTCCCAGAGCTCAGCTGCTTGGATTACCACGACCTTTCCTGCTGACTTCAGCTCAGAGGTCTAGTGGAGGAGCTCTTGCTGGGGTGCTGGTTTGATGACAGCAGGACCATGACAGAGTCAGGTCAGTTAAAGAATTAAAAAGTAAGGCGGCTCCTGCTTCCCAACCAACTTCTGAGAGTTCCCCAAAGATGAATCAGAGAATCTCAAATCTGTGCGGTGGATGCCTTCTCTTTGTGACTGGGTCCGCCACCTGCCGCCATGCGCCTCTGCGTTCCTGTTCCTAATAGCTCCCTCTTTTGTCTGTGGGTCTTCCCCCATGTTGTTCTCTCTGGAATCTTCTTTCTTTCCAGCCTTCGGCTAATTCCTCATTCTTCAGAGATCTATTAAAGAGACCCCTGCCCCAGGCTGTCCAGTGCCCCCAAGTTTCCCTGTATTCCCCCACCACTGCACTTCTTGCAAAATATGGTAACTTCTTTGTTTTTCTGTATTTCATACTAGATAATAAACTAGAGGTTCCATAAGGTATCTCCAGCCTTGCCATTGTGACTGGCACAGAGTTGACTATCTGCTGAGGGATGGCCAGGTGTTCTCCAGCACTACGTGTGGAGTGTTACGTGTATTCTTGTCCCTCTCAAAGAGTTCCCTTCCACCCCTATAGGTCTCTCTAATAACCGAAGAGGAGGCCCAGCAGCAGGATGGTTTCTAGCATCGGGGTCAAGACCCAGGCGCTGACCACTGATCTCGATCCTGGGCCAAGATCTCGAGCCCAACCACTCACCTGACTGCAGATTCCCTCTTCCTGGTGATGTCCGTGATGTGCACAGGGAGGGTGTGGGCAGAGAGGGAAGCAAGGCCACTCAGAGAACGACTCCTTGGCAGCGGTGTGGCTGGTGGCTGTGGAGAGTCCTGGAAGAAACGAAGGTTGGTATTGATGGGACAGCAATGTGTGACTAGTTTCTATTCTAACCTAGGATTCAATTTCAGTGAAGGACTAGTCAGACCAAGAATCTTTTTTTTTTTTTCTGGGATTAGAGAAAGAGTAATAATGAGTTTATTACCAGGCCTAAAGTTGGATAACAATCCTAAAGTTTTAAAATCAGATGAGAAGAGTTCTTTAGAATTGATATAGGGACGTGAGCAATTGGTCCCAACTCCCTATGTTCTAGACTTGGATTTATTTCTGCAAATTTCCTTTAGAAAAGTTCCCTCTAGGGAGGCGAAGAAAGAAAGTATTCTTATGGTACTAAGTTTATAGGAATTGTGGCGCTTACAACTGAGCCAGTGTTGTTTTTTTTTTAACTTTTTAAAATTTAAATTCAATTGATTCACGTATAATGTATTACTAGTTTCAGAGATAGAGGTCAATGACTCATCATCAGTCTTCTATAATGAGCCAGGGTTTTTTTTTAAAAAAAAGATAGGAAAATGTCAGGAGAAGTGCCTCCCGTTGAGACTGGCTGGTCCGCTGGGTCCCGGGCCCTGCCCCTCCTGCACCTGCCCAGGCTCTCACCCTCCTCCCTCCGGACGTGGCGGCATCACTGGGCCGCTGAGTGCCACGCAGGCTGCTGGTTCTCAGCAAGAAGGGCTTGTTGCGGGTCCCCTCCCTGGCCTCCCTTCTCTTGGCAGCTCTTCTCTGGAAGGCCTTGTAAAGGCCTTCATAGTCAGGGACGGCAGGATTCACCCGAGGCTGGAATCCAAAGTCAGGGTGCAGAAACGCAAGCTTTTCCTTCTGGGTTCGGGTAGCTGTGCGAGGCTGTGGGTCAGGCCGGCCGCCGGAGAAGGCGACAGGGGAGGAGGCCTTCTGGAGCATGTCTAGGGCTCGCATCTGGATGCGAATTTTCCTGAAGAGTTCTGCTTCTGTGGAGAAGAAGTCAGGCAAGTGATGGGAGAGAGGGGACCCCACCGCATCCCTAAAGGTTTGGAGAATGTTCCCTCAAACACTAGCAGTGGTGTGCCAGAGCCGACCGACAGCTTTGCAGGAATTTCGGGTACCAGCTGACATCATATGGGAAGCTCCGCGTTGGCCAGGAGAGGTGTACTTAGACCACGGAAAATGGCAAACACTACAGATCAGCTTGCTTTGTCTTTTCTGGAGAGTTCGTTCATAAACACTGGCCAGGACACGGCTGCCAGGTGCCAGTAGGCTGTGAGGCAGCCACCATGGACACGGACTGAGCGCTCTCTGTGGGTCCTTCTTCCAAGGCGGAGCTGGAGGGGCAGGCCCGTCACCCCTCCTCTCCCAGGTCCCCCTCGACTCAGGGCAAGTCCCCGCCACCCACCCAGAGGCTAACGCTGTTGCCCAAATCATTCTTGCCTGCCTTCTCTGGTCAGTCCCAAGTTTTGTGGTCTCTGCTCTTCAAGCGTGCTCCAGTCTGGCCTCTCCTCACCGTCCCTGCTGCTAACTTCACCATCTCGCCGCTGAACTGCATCCAGACCAACATCCCTCCAGGCCCGGCCCTCCCCCCTCAATGATCTTCCCAAGCCGCAGATCTGATCCGGAGCCAGCCTACTTAGAGCCCTTCAGTGGCCCCCCCAGTGCCCTTGGATGAAGTCCAAACTTCCTCCCACGGCTACAAGCCCCCAGGTGTGGCTCGGGCCTGCCTCTCCCTCCCCACTCCCTCTTCTCTCCTGCCCCTTGTCGTCCCTTGAATGTGCTCAGCGGCCTCTGACCTCCGCGCTGTTCTCTCTGGCTCACTCTTCCTCCCTCTTCCCATCCTTCAGGGTCCGCCTCAGCGCTCACTTCCCCCAGGGCCCTTCCCTATCTGCTCCCACAGCCTCACCACATGTGAAGCTAGGTCCCTCTCCCCTGTGCTCTGTGAGGGGCAAGCCTTTCATCCTTGCAGACCCCTCACATCTGTAGCTTTGTTATCTAGTACCTGTCTTCCTCCTGTGTCCACCAACTCCATGTCTATCCCAGACAGGGCCTGGCACCTTACTGAACAAGTAAAGCCTGAGTCCTTTTATCGAACCCCAGTTCTTGGAATGTGCATCTCACCAGGATGGGGGGTGGGGGGGTGGGAGCGGGCCTCAGGGCCAGCTGGAGGCGGCACTGGCCTAAGCCAGTCCTTGGCCGTATCTCCCTGGCTCTCTGCGCATTCGCCATCTCTCTGGCAGCGCTCACAGGACCGAGCTGGGGAATGCTGCGCCACCTCGCACGGCCCACTCGTGCCAGGGCTCCCCACGGCACAGACAGAGCCAGCCCTACCCCACGGCCTGCCCTGAGCGTGGCCCAGAGGCCGGTCCTCCCGAGCAATGAATTTCTCTCTCAGCCAGGCTGACCCCCGGGCCTACATCCCCACAGCAGCTCTTGGTAGCCCCCAGGCAGCAGGCAGCAAGGTGTGTGTGGGGGGGTCTTTACCCTGGAGTTTGTCCCCGAGGGCTGGCTCCAGAATGGACTTGGGGATCCTTCTGGTGGCCTTCTGCTTGGGGACCTTGGCCTTGGCTGTGGCGGCCAACTCCCTCTGTTTAGCGGCTTCCTTTCTCTGTTCCTCCTTCACTAGGAAGCTGAAGGGCTTCAAGGAGGAGAGGAGCAGTTCCTTCCTCTTCTGGATCCCTGCCTGCCTGCGGGCCTCGCTGCGCTCGGTGATCTCCCGGTAGAGGGGCAGGTAGACGTGCGCGGGCACGGGCTGCGCCCGGAACTGCCGGTGGCACTCGGCCTCCTCCTGACCCTGCTGCTGGGCCTGCTTCCTCTCCCGCTCGAAGGAGGCAGGGGAGGCCAGCCACTGGGCCTTCTTCTGGGCCTCACGCAGAGTCATGTGGAACGGCCGAGGGACGGTGAGGGATGATGCCCAGGAGCTGCGGCTTCTGTGCTGCGAAGGAGGCCTGGAGCCTGAGGGTGGCGGGGGCTGACCCTTGGGGTCGTCGGACGGAAGGCTGCTCAGCGAGCTGCAGCGCCTTGTGGGGCCACACCTAGGGGGAGAAAGCAGCTGCGTGGAGGACACGTGGAGGACGCTGGAGGCCGGCGGCTGGCTCCTCCTCCGGCTCCTCCCCAGTCCTCCCTCCCAGGAGGTGGCAGCCGCTTCTCAGCCTAGCATCACCCACCCCCCTGGGCCTCTGAGCCTGTGCCTCTCCTCTCTCAGCTGGGCCTCCCTCCTTTCCCTCAGGCCATCTAGCAGCCCGTTAGGAAGTCTCTTCTCAGAACTGATTCAAGAATTGCCACTTTGTATTCTAATATTTTCTGGGGTTTTTTTCTTTTAAAGATTTTATTTTTTTAAAGTAATCTCCACACCCACTCCGGGGCTCGACCTCACAGCCCGGAGATCAAGAGTTGCACACTCCACCGCCTGAGCCAGCCAGGCGCCCTGCATTCTACTATTTTCATATGGGCGGGAGAACAGTGCAAGGGTACAGAGCAGGGCTTTAGAGTCGGACCCAGGTTCAAATCTTGCTTCAAACAATTACCAGCCGTGTGACCTTTAGCAGGGTTTGCCTGGAACCTCGATTTACTCATCTGGAGAACGGCAAAAATAATATCTACTTACAGGGTTAGTGGGAAGAGAAAATAAATATTAAATATCATGTAAATGCAGCGGACATGCATATAACAGGGCTTGGCCAAGGTAAATGTACCTTGTTGCCATTCTCAGGGAGGGAGTGAGAAAGACATCCCTTTAATCAATTCCAGTGCTTCCAATGACTAGGGTAACCCAAAGTGATTTAGGACGGCTGGGTAGGAACCAGAACATGTTTGGCTCCAAAGGCTGATTCTGAGCTGGAGTCTGGGTAAGGGACAACTTGCAGAAGTGGTCTTTGCTTTACTGGGAAGAGGATGAGGCCCAGAGTCATGATGTGACTTGGCCAGAGTTGTGCATGAAGCAGCTGGTGAACTGCAGTGCCTTACCTTGGAGACACGGGGTACTGGACCTGTGGCTTCCCCCTGCCTTCGTCTTGGAAGAAACTCTCCAGGTCCTCATCATCTTCGGAGAAGTTCTCACCACTGTCTGGGTCAGACTGATAAAGGGATTCCAACAGGCACCACCTGCCTTTCTGCTTTACTTCCTCCAGGGTCTCGTAAAAGCTCCCAGTTGAGTCAGAAGATTCAGAAAGCGTCAAGTCCTCTGGGCCAAGGAAGTCATCCAGTTTGCCAGCCCTGGGCAAAACCAGCCCATCCCCAGACAACTCCTCTTCTGTATCCGAGTCTGAGGAGGACTTGGGGGGAAATACCTACAATGAAATAGAATAGACGGGTCAACTATCATTTCACATTTATGCAAAACATAACCATTAATTTCACTTTGAATAAGTCTCTGTGCATTAGGGACTGGGAAGGAAGAAAAATGTGTTCCTTACTTTAAAGAAATTTCACAAATCGGTATATGGGGTACACTTGGTTGAAGGGCAGGGAAAGGCAGCAACAGGTGAGCAGTTACCGAGTACTCTGCAGCATGCATTCTGTCCCCTGCACTCCAGGAAGCGCACCAGACCTCAGCCACACCCTGCGCCTTGCCTTAGTTGGGCTTTACTTACTGGTTGCCAATCTTCTTTTTCCTGCACCTCTGCTTTCCTCCTAATTCTAAGCTTCTATCTGCCCCGTTACTAGGAATGAATAATTAACTGAACAATGTGGTCTAGCCGAAAGAACAATGTCACAGAAAGTGGGTTTAAATACTCCATTCATTTAGAAAATATTTATTTGGTACCTAATGTGCACTGGGCATTAGGCTGAGAATGAGTCAAACAAGGTCCCTACTCACAAAGCTTACATTCTAGTGAGAGGGAGACAGACCATATAAGATGACAATATATTCAATCAAAGACATAAGTTGAGAGATTATACAGTGATGAAGTGGTTTGGGGAAGCTTTTCTGTTGATAAAAGCCCATCAGATAAAGACCACTAGGAACAGTATCTATAATCAGAGTTAGGTTTATTAATTTGTTGGAGTACACCATGAAAAATTAAGGGAACTTGCAGGGTGGGGACTTTCAGTAAGAGGGTGGGGGGAGGGCTTTTTCTAGGGTTGGCTTATCCTGAATGATTCTGAGGATCTGGATGGATGCTGTCATGAAGACGGCACAGTTCAGTAAGTGAGTGACTGAGCAATTTTTATTCAAAAGGTAACTAGAACAAAATGAGGCTGGGTAAGTAATTGATAGGTAAGCATCATCACTTAGAAGGGGGTCTTAGTCTTTTTGCAGGTACACTTTGGCCCTGGGAGAAACATTGTTTTCTGCTAATCTGGCTGCTCACCTTAGCTGTGTCTGTTACAGTCTGCATTGTACTTTCTCAGTCCTGGGCTGATTTTTACTTTCTCACTGCAGAGGAGTTTTAGACTCACACGTGATTGATGAGAGGGAGCCGGCCTTGCTAAGATCTGGGGTAAGAGCGTTCTGGGTTCAAGGAAAAGCAAATGCAAAGGCCTTCAAGCAGGAATAAACTTGGCTCTTGGAGAGGTAGAAGGAGCGCCAGTGTGGCTGGAGGACAGGGGTATGAGATATCCTTAGAGAACCAGGTGTGTAGCCGGGATTGGACTGGATAAGATGACTGGTTGCATCTAGAAATCAGTTGGAGGTAGGCTGCTACAGGCCTCCAGGTGACACTTGGTGATGATTCTCTAAGGTCCAGCTCTGATACTGAAAAGAACACTGGATTCTGAGTCAAACGTGTGTATGTGCTCCAGCCCTTGCGCTGCTACTGAGGAGCATGGGATCCTGGGGAAAAAAATTTTAAATGCCTTTATTGAGATATAATTCAGACACCATACAATTCATACAATTCACTTACTGAAAGAGTACAATGCAATGGGTTTTAGTATATTCACAGAGTTGTGCAACCATCACCACCATCAATTTTAGAGCATTTCAATCACCCCAAAGAAAGCCCATACCATTTAGCAGTCACTCTCTATTTCGCTTAGTGCTTCCAACCCTTCCCTCCTTGCCAGCCCTAAGCAACCACCAATCTACTTTCTGTATGGATTCTATGGCAAATTTCTTTTTTTTTTTTAAAGATTTTATTTATTTGAGAGCGAGCGAGCGAGCACATGCGTGTGGGGGGAGGGGCAGAGAGAGAGGGAGAAGCAGACTCCCCGCTTGAGCAGGGAGCCTGATGCGGGGCTCAGTCCCAGGACTCTGGGATCAATCATGACCTGAGCCGAAGGCAGACGCTTAACCGACTGAGCCACCCAGGTGCCCCACTGTGGCAAATTTCTTATTCTCTCTGTGCCTCAGTTTTCTTTTCTACAAAACGGGGACAACATCGTTCTATCAGTCCTAGGGTAGTTGACAGGATAAGCGAAAACCGAGGGCCATCGCTGTGATTCGATGGAGGGCCTGACATAAGGCTCAACCCCTTAGGGAGTCCGCCTGCCGGTCCCTAAAGGCGGCCGATTTTAATCCCACGCCCCTCTGCGACACGCCCCTGTCGTCTGTCTCCAAGGCAACGTCAAACAGTTTCCTCTCTTAGAGATTCCTTTCCGGGGCGCAGCCCTAATTCCTCTCCTTCTCGTTCTCTCCTCACCTGACGGCTCCACTGAGCGCCGCCCGGGGCTCCCGGAGGCTTCCCGATGGTCATCCCCGCGAGTCAGAGACGAAGGCCGCGGTGACGGCGGCGGGCTACGCGCTGGCTGCGGTGGCGGTACTAGCTACGCGATCAGGTTCCGCCCCTTTCCAGCTTTGGCCTCTGATTGGCTCCCAGGCGGATGCCTGACCCAGTCCCCCTTCCCAGGGAGCCTCTAATCTTTCCCGCCCAAGTTGGCAAGGATCGTTTTCTGATTGGCCTACTCTTTGCGCGTTCTATTTCCGGCTCTGAGGCCGGGGCGGAAGCAGCTAGTGATTGGAGAGCTCTGCTCCGGAAGTGCAGCAAAAGGAGGGCCTAGCGGTGCGCCAAGTACGTTGCAGGTCAGCACCATGGCGGCCCGGCTGGCTGTGAGCCGGTGGAGGGCTGCACCTGCAGCTCCTGGGAGAGGCCCGCTGCTCTCCTGCCGGAGGTGGTCGGGCGCCAAGGCAGACACGGTGTACGATGTGGTGGTGTCGGGCGGAGGCCTGGTGGGTGCCGCCATGGCCTGTGCCTTGGGTAAGCGCATCTCCAGGCAGATAGTGGCGGGGAGTGGGGCCGTGGAGGAACCGTGAGGACCGTGGGAGCCCTGAGCTCCTGTGGTCTTTCCCCTGCCTAGAGGAGCCCCAAAACAAGCGTTTGGTCCTTCAGGGTTCCGAAGGGTCAAAAGTGGGAGGGTCCTTAGGAGTCATTCTAAATCCCGCCCGCTGTTACCCAGGAATGGGCACAGTTGGAAGTAATCAGGCATTGTATCGGGCTAGGCGTTTTGTTTCTTTCTAAAAACAGCTCCTTTGAGATATAATTGCATATCAGAAGGTTCACCCATTTAAGCATACAATTTAATGGTTTTTTAGTATATTAACAGGGTGTGCATCCATCACCACCATAAATTTTAGAACATTTTTATCACCCCCCAAAGAAACAGGAACCAATTAGCAGTCATTGCCCATTTCCCCCCAAAGCTCCTCAGCCCTAGGCAACCACTCGTGAACTTTTTGTCTCTATAGATTTGCTATTTCCTGACATTTTCATGTGCTTGGATTCTGCTTGTTTTAAAGGTTCGTCCAGGTTGTAGCATGCGCCCGTACTTTTTATGGTTGAGTAATTCTGCATTGTGTCAATGTACCACATTTGGTTTATGCATTTATTAGTTGATGGACGTTTGGGTTTCCACTTCTGGACTGTTTCGAATAATGCTGTTATTTTGGATATAGGTTTTTGTGTAAACATATATTTTGGGTTACTTGGATATATCCATTTCTAGGAGTGGAATTGCTGGATCACATACATGGTAACTCTCTGTTTGTTTTGAAGAACTGCCAAATGGTATTCCAAGGTGGCTGCACCATTTTACATTCCCACCAGCAGTATATGAGGGGTCCAGTTTCTCCACATCCGGGACAGCACTTGCTGTTGTATTTTTGTTTATATTCATCCTAGTGGGTGTGAAGTGGTATCTCCTGGTTTGATTTGAATTTCCCTAATGACTAATGATGTTGAATATCCTTTCATATGCTTATTTGTATATCTTTGAAGAAATGCCTATTCAGAAGCTTTGCCCATTTTATTTTGATTTTTTAAAGTAATTTCCACACCCAGTGTGGGGTTCGAACTAAGGACCCCACAATCAAGAGTTGCATGCTCTCCACTGAGCCAGCCAGACACCCCCCTTTGCCCATTTTGGGCAATTTTGGGCAGTTTGTCTTTTTATTATTGAGGTCTAAGAGTTGTTTTTGTTTGTTTAATCTGGGCACAGGTCGTTTAACAGCGAAGTGATTTGCAAATATTTTCTCTCATTTTATGGGTTGCCTTTTCATTTTTATTTTTTTAAAATTTTATTTATTTATTCATGAGAGACAGAGAGAGAGAGAGGCAGAGGGAGAAGCAGGCTCCCAAGGAGCAGAGAGCCCAATGCAGGACTCGATCCCAGGATGCTGGGATCATGACCTGAGCTGAAGGCAGAAGCTTAACCATCTGAGCCACCCAGGCACCCCATCTTTTCATTTTCTTGATGGTGTCCTTTGAAGCACAGAAGTTTTTAATTTAGATAAAATTCAACTTGTCAAGTTTTTACCACTTACACTTTTGGTTTCATATCGAAGAAATCATTAGCTAACCCAAACTCATGAAGATTCACTTTTGTGTTCTAAGAGTTTTGTAGTTTTAGCTCTTAGATTTAAGTCTGTGATCTACTTTGAGTTAAACTGTGTATGTAAAGTGAGGTAAGGACTTTGCTTTTACATGTATAGTTTAGGCTGGTTCACTTCACTGTGATGGAGATACTGTTTTCATATTTTATGTGAGAAAATTGCTTAGCAAGGTTTAAGTAAGGACCAGAGTCGTAACAACCAACTGGTAGTAGACTCAGAACTTGAACCTCATGCCACCAAACTCCAGATCTTTCCCCCCCTTTTTTATAAAAAATTTTTTTACCTGAGAGAGCGTGCACATGCATGGGGGGGCGGGTGTTGGGAGAGAAAAGGAAGAGGGAGAAAAGGAGACTCTACTGAACGCAGAGCCTGATGCGGAGTTGGATTCCAGGACCCTGAGATCATGACCTGAGCCAAAACCAAGAGCCGGACGCTCAACCAACTGAGCCACCCAGGCACCCCCAGATCTTTGGCTTTTAACAATTGTATAGTGACTTGCAGAAATTGGATCTGAGTTTTCTGGCCTCACAAATTAAAGATCACTAATAATGTAAAAGTCTTTGTTGACTTAAGAATAAGGTATAACAGCCACATCTTCCCTAGGGTGGCTCCTCTTTTGGGATACTGGTGGGAAACAAAGCTTTGTATGAACTAATCGGCTTGAGTCTCAAAGTAATTATAAAAAACATAGTCATCAATTATTGAGTACTTGTTATGGATAGGCATCTTTTAAAGTATTTTGCATACATTTGTACTTAATCCTCATAATCTTTTTTTTTTTTTGGTGCAAAAAGGTGGTTTTCTTACAGCATGGGGACAGGACCTGTGGGCAGAAAGAGCTGCATCTGGGATCGAGCCCAGCATCGGGGCTCCCCGCTCAGCGGGAAGCCTGCTTCTCCCTCTCCCACTCCCCCTGCTTGTGTTCCCGCTCTCGCGGTCTCTCTCTTGTCAAATAAATAAATAAAATCTTGTTGGTAATTGGGAGATACAAAGCCTTTTTGAGACACAAAACTCTCTGGCAGGTATATATACCTTCCTGACAGCCATTTTGGTTGTACCTACTGGTCAGTGGGCTAAAATAGTTCTCAAGCTTGAGTGCATTTAAGAATCACCTGGGGTTTTTGTTTTGTTCGGAGGTGTTGAATAACTAAGGCACATATAGAAAATTCAAAAGGGATTTTGAGTTCTGAAATACAAAGGGTATAGGGCATACAGTATAAAGAATGTAAAGTGAGACTTCCATTTTTTATTTTTAGCCACCCAATTCTCCTTGAAGACAGTCACCCATTACCAGTTTGTGGGGGCATATTTTAAAAAAATGAGGATTGCAGGTTTCACTTCCAGTGACTGATTGGGTTTATCCAGGTGGGGCCCAGGAGCCTGTACTTTTTTTTTTTTTTTAAGATTTATTTATTTATTTATTTGACAGAGAGAGACACACACAGCAAGAGAGGGAACACAAGCAAGGGGTGTGGGAGAGGGAGAAGCAGGCTTCCTGCCGAGCAGGGAGCCCGATGCAGGGCTTGATCCCAGGACCCTGGGTTCATAACCTGAGCCGAAGGCAGATGCTTAACGACTGAGCCACCCAGGCGCCCCTAAACAGAGAATTCTGTATTGTAATTGTTTCTGTTTTCCGTCTCTTCCATAGAAGTATAAATCCTCAAAGTCAGGACTGACTTTAAAACAGTCATAATACAGAATTCTCTGTATAAGTCTACAAAAGAAAGGTCAGGGGCCCGAGTACACTGGGTTGTGACAATCTCTGCTCAAAGTCAACACTACCAAACGCAGGTTTACAAAAGAAAATTCACACACTGGCCAATTTCCTAAAAAAGCTCAGAGAAAAATGTTAAACGTGAAAGTTGAAGCTCTGGAAGGTTTGGAATCTTTTCATGTGATTTATTCAGTGAGCAAGCCTCGCTGTTTTCCTGTAAAGCAGTTGGGACCTTGGGCAGATCCACAGCCTTTCAGAGGCAGGTGTGGCATTGGGAGTGTTTTCTCTTGTTGAGTCAAGTAAACTCTCCGCCTGAGATTTTGTGCTATTTTTTCCTCCAAATGGGTTTTCTAAAATGTCACTTTAAATAGCTAAAAAATAAAATATTGAACCTGATTATAAGGTATTTGGAAATACAATTCTTTTTCCTGTTGGTTCCCTTGTCTCTCATTTAACAAAAATGCCCGCTACTTTATGGATTGAGGAGATAGAGCATTTGCCGCTGGGAATATTAGCCATAAGAAAAGAAATGGTTCCTGCCCCCAGGGAATTTAGAATCTAGCAAAAGAGAAAGACTTGTAAATAACTAATAGAAGTGATTATGAAACGAAAGCTCCCCTAGAGGAACAACCGCTGACCTGTGCTGGGGGAAGAGGTGTGCAGAGTGGTCTGAACACCGCTGGGGAGGTGAGGCTTGAGCAAGTAGGATCCGGGGGGAGGAGGTGGCCAGGGGGGCATTCGGGTGGGGCAGATACTGGAAGGCGGGGAGGTGTGCTGGACCAGAAGGCAGTCCACTCCGGGGAGCGTGGCTGTTCCCATCCTCCAGTGCAAACACAGCCGCACAGCAAGGGCGGGGTATACGTGAACCTGGTGCCGCTCACTGCCTGTTCACCGGAGCGACCTAGTTGCATCTTATAATAATGCCGCTCTTCTCATTTAGATTCCCAAAAATGTGGGGTTGTCATCATTACGAAGTAAAACCTACAGTGTTTCTCTCATAATCCTGTCACGTTTTTTTCTCCTTTCTTGGCTGCAGCAGCTCCCTGCTTACTGTTTCCGTGTCTTTCCCTGAGCCACGGTGGAGGGGACTGTCTAGGCACCCAGTAAGCAAGTCCCCAAGTCCCCTTTTTACTCCCCTATACAGGTGTTTGAGGACCAGATTTGTAGGTACAATTGATGTATTTGGGGGGCTCCTTTTCTTTCACAAATAATTCTTTATCCTCGATTTAATCTCGCCACAACGAATTTTGTTTATTA